AGCGCTGGAGACCCCAACCCTCGTCTCAAACTGGGCACCCGAAAAAATCTCAGCAGCATGCAGCAAAGTCGCGATCTTTACGAAGACTACTACCCTCACCACCGCCACGGAAACAGTCTACACGGCAACCGACGCTTTCACAACGACTCAGATTAGCGTTGCCCCTGCACCTACTACGACGCTTGTTATTACCTCTCCGCTCATCAATACCGTGAGTGCGACCTTGACCACTCTGGCAACTGTCACGTCCCGAGTCGCCGCACCGGCTCCTGTCTGTACGCCTTTGTGCTGCGCAAACATAGCCACCTGGTCTACGAACCCCACTGTCTGGGGCAACATCTGCGGATACTTCCCCTTGACAGGACCGATGGAATTGATAGGAGCACGATGCATTCCTAGGCCCGCTTCTGGTATGTATCTCTAATCTTTCACATCTAACGCTGGATTGAATTACCGACTAACAGATGGTTACAGGTGTATGTCCCGCTGGAACGAACAAAGCGTGCTGCAAGGGAACAGTACCTGGGCAGTGCGCACTGGGCACGAACTGTGTGAAACTGTAGATGGCTTCGGTATCGGATGAAATCTCGCAATCAAGTCAGTAGCTGCCTGTGGGGTCATGATTGATAATGTAATGTTTATTCCTAGAAGCATCCACACTTTGCTACACAACCAGCATAACCTCGTAGAACAAAAACCGTGAATTTGTGATTATCATCACAGTCTCAGACGAGAGCATTACATGGTATGCCCATCGTGCTCATCGCCCATTCATAGCGCAACCCGAAGACACTCGCAATTAGTTCGTCAAGCTCACATTGCGCACCAAGATATCCTCATCCTTCTGATATGGAATACCCGCCTTTTCCCTCGCCATATCGTTGATCCATCGGCCGTCAGGTGCGACATGCTCCCCCTTGGATAACTCATCGGCCAGATACAGCCAAGCCAGCGCATTGCCCACGGTGCTGACCTCGTCGCTAACATGCTTACTCGCATACTCCGACATAGTCGAGTGAAGTTCGGAATCGGTGAAGAGATCAAACAAGTGCTTGGCAACAGCGTCGTGATCACCAGGCTTGACCAGGAAGCCGGACTTTCCATCCTGGACCTGCAGAGGGATACCGCCAGCGAGAGTAGCGATGATAGGTGTGCCCTTGTGGAGCGCTTCGCTGACCTTGACTTCGAAGCCTTCACGGGTGGAGAGCTGGAGGGCGACGTGAGCACAGGACATGAGTGCGTTGAGCATCTGGTCGGATGGTCCGATACGCATGATGATGACGTCGTCCTTGAACTCGTTGAACTCCCCGTTGAGAGCGGTCTCGGTTTCCTTGAAGATGCGTGTAGCATCTGGATCGTCGACGGCACCATGGCCAGCTATGACGAGCTGGGGGATGTCTACGAGGGGCGTGTCTTTCATGTACACCTTGCGAAAGAGTGCGTATGATGCGAGTACATCTGGGATGCCCTTCGCTGGGTCGAAGCGAGCGATTTGAACGATGTATTTGCGATCCGGATGAGCGAGCTGACGCATACCAGCTGAAAAGCACTGGACCTTGAGCTCGTGGATGTAATACTGCTCGTCCCAGGGGTGCATGTGCTTGTTCAGGCCATCTAACCAATCAGTAGTGGCAGGCAGGTAGCCTACTTTCTCTGGTGTTACAACCTCGGGTACGAATGCTCGCACGGGATGGCTGACGAAGACATCACAATCTTTGACGTGGTTCCAGATCCAGTTCCATACCTCGGAGGTAGCGGTATCTGCTTGGTCAGCGAGGTCAGCTCGGACCTGGATGTGGCTGCGAAAAATGACTGGGCGACTAGAGGATAGAGTTAGTATAAAAAGCATCTTGGATCAGTTAGTAAGCAATTCGGGAGTACATACCTGGAGTCTCGCTCCTTCGCAATCTTGACAAGGCTCGGCATCTGAGGATCATCGACAATGATCACGTCGGCACCACCCTTCTCGCGAGATGAGAGCGGGCCGCCGTGCTCGACCCAACGACACTTGTCAGCCTCTTCGATGACCCAGTCATCAAGATCGGCCATTTTTTCCTCGGTCAAACGCTCGCCTGCTGTGGCGACACCCTGAAGAATATTATGGTTGTCTTTGGTGATCCTGAAGATGTTGGTCTTTCCGTATGGAACGTACCATTTGCAGTCGACACCGAGAAGAGCCAGATATCTCATCAGAGCGTGCCTCATGAGAGCGACACCTCCGCCTTGTGCTGTGCTGTTGAAGAAGGCAATCTTGGTCCTTCTCTTCTTGAGCGAATTGGCGTAATGCATCGTTGCAGCTCCTGTAGTGTCCATCCTGACAGTAGAATCGTAGCTTTCGCGCTCGGCGATGTGCACGTGGTTGTCGAGATCAACCAAAACCTGACGACGATGACCCATCTGAACGGGTAACTCACCCTTGACGTTGAATTGCTTCACTGTCTTTCTCGCCATGCGTTCGGCTTCTTGATCTAGGGGTATCGATGGCTCTTCCTTCTCTTTAGCGTCGGCCGGAAAGATGAATGGTATGATGTCTAGTTCAGTCCATAGGCGTACGGCCAGGTGTGGACTCAAGGTAGCCAGTTGTGTGGTCAGAGTAGCACCCATGGGCTTGGAAAGATTCTCCTCGCGGTAGTCGTTGAGAAATCCGATGAAGGCTTTTGACAGAGCTTCGGAAACATCTCCTACAGACATGGGTGTGGAGACCCCTGATCCAACTCGCGATGATTCGTTCGATGAGTTGCCTCCGCCTGCGTCTCCGGACAGCTCCAGAGATTTGCTCTCGCAGTTAATGGTGTAGGTTCCATCATGCAACGCAATGCAGTAGCGAAAGTCGCCATCGTCAGACTGAGCGACAGCAAAGCCTGCGTAAAGGGGCTGCCATGTCCACATGTTAATCAAAAGGTTTGCAATTGAAGAATGGTAGTACTGACCTCGACAGCAGCCTCAAGAGTACCCTTCTGTTCCTTGAGTTTGTAGAGTGAATCCGAGGACTTGAACGCCCCAATGCTGATCTGACGTCGCTCGGCAGTCGCTAGACGTCGGTAAGTGGGCCGCTGCTCGGCAATCTCATCACCCTGTAGCGACATGATGAACACTAATGTCGGGGGGCGTCTGAACAGAACGGTAGATGATAGTTGAGGTAGTGATTAGTTAATTGATAGCAAATAGCAATCAATAGTAATGTATGAGGAGGAGGAATGTCGATTTGTATTGGAAAGAAGCAGGTAGGCAGCTTATATGGCGAGCATGGGGGCTTCACAATGCAGTAGGCGGTGATTGCCACAGCCATTGAAGCATTCATGGCGATTGCGTGCATGCTAAGCGCATCATGAACATCACACCGGGTATAAGTGGCGATTGATGGCGGCCAGTGAGTGACAGGCGCGCATTGAAGGAACGCATGGCGTTGGCTGTTGGAAGCGGTGACTAGGAAGGCGGAAGATCACAAGGCGTGTTAGGCGTGGCAGCCAGCAGGCAAAGGGAAATACACGGGAGAATGGCGTGATACGACGATAGTCCTGGTTGCGGGACGAGATCTGGTGAGGTGAGCATTCCGCACGAGATGGCTTACGCGACAGCGCTAGGGACTTCCCACGCGTCGTAACTACGAATGGAAGGGCTAGCAGCTACGGTTTCGTCGGGTAGCCATGACACAATGGCCACAACGACGAGGAGGACCGTGATGCTGGATCTGCCGTGTTGTTCTCGATGCAGTGGATGAGTGCGTCGTTTGACATGAACGAGTTTTCTGTGGCTGTCTGGGGCGAATCAGACATGGTACCACCGGCAGCGCGGGGGTGATCGAGTGGCCCCGTGCCATGGGTATAATTCAGCCGCCAAACGCGTCGTGTAGTCGTGTAACCATCGTGATTATATGTGAAACCAGCGCTGCTCGTAAGCCAGAAATGGGGGACGACGTTGTTCAGTGTGAACAAGTGGTGCTGCGGGCAGAAGGAGGAATGCAACATTGAAGACGAAAACTAGTCTCGGGCTCTAACAAGTTGCATGACTCTGGAAGCCACAAAAACACCGAACGATGTATGCAGAGTCGATCTTCCGAGGACACTTGCAATGAAACAGACGCACAACTGGCTAGAACACATCGTGATGCTCATGCCACGATCACTAGCCCGTATGCGCATGCAACACTTTTTCCGTGTAGTTCAATTACTCAAGCGCAGCCGCTAGGTGGACTAGGCCTGATAGTCCCGCTATCGCTGAACGAAGAAGAAAGCATCGTGGGGGTGGCAAGTCATTGTAGAGACAAGGCCGCCTGAGTGTACGAATGTGAGTGCTGATGTAAGGTGGGAAAGAAAAGCGATCGCGGCCGAAAGAGGACAAACACGTGCGATATGCAGCTTGGCTCAATGCAGTGTAGCGCGGCGGGAACGGCAGCACTAGCGCGAGCAAGCACAAGGGTCCGGCTGGATGGGGTGGAGCGGAGCGAGCGACGCGGATGGGAGAAGGGATGCTGTCGAAAGTCTTGGGCGGAGTCATGCAAGTTTAGGGGTGGAAAAGAGAGTATCGTGGATGCACATGCCGATGTCGACGTCCTGGGAACAGAGAGTCGTAGCGGAACTGGTGCCATGTCGGCGCAAGCGCTCCAGATGGCCATGTTTCCCGCCTGCCGGATTTGAAACGCCTCTTCCTCCGTGCAAGCCAAGCAAAAGCACCAACCACGGCGACCCACCCATCTTGCGCTCAAACCTCAGCGATCTCACAGCCACGACACCATCTCACCCGTTTGCATCCCTATCTGCCCCCATCCACCGTTTATCCATCCGACACCCGTCGCGCCCACCAGAGGGCCGGCCCCGTAGACGTGTACCAGCCCAGATAGCTCGTGCCAGCTGTGCGCCCACAGCCTTGCGACCGCCAGGCTCCCACCCGACGTCGTCGCATACCGCGCCCTGTTGCTCGCGTCTCAATAGCGCACAACGCGAAGCAGACGGCCAGCCCATCTTCGCACCCTCTCCCGGACGCGCGACCCCGCCGCCAGCATGAACCACTACCCTCCCCGGGCGGTCATGCCTCCCCAGACGGGCCCAGCCCAGCGCCTCAACGAGCTGCTCGACAACATCAAGACCGAGTTCGAAGCCGAATCCCAGCGCAGTGTCGATGCCGAAGGCCAAAGTGAGTCTTGCACATGCTATCCAGCCGCGAAGGGAAGCAGTTGCCGTGCGGTATCCAAGGACCGGGCGAGCAAACTTTCTGCGCATGGCCTCGACTGTCTTTTGTCGCATCGAGCTCACAGCTGCTAACTAGTCTTCGCAGTCACGCGTCACATCCAAGAGATTGAGTTGATTCGCGGCAAGGTCTACTCGCTCGAGCAGTCACACAACCAGATGAAAGCAAAGTAAGCACCTCGCGCACGTCGCCCATACACCATGACTCCGAGCTTCCCTCAGGCTGCGCTTTGGATGCTAACCCCCGTGCTAGATACGAGGAGCGTATCGCCCAGCTGGAGCGCGAACTCGAGGCTCGCGGCGGCCCCAGCCAGAACTCGCAGCACCACGGCCCCTCGCAGCCTCAGCCGCCTCAGATCGGCCACGGGCCTAGTAACCTGTTCGGCGGCATAATGGCAGGCAGTGCTGCCCAAGGTGGTCCGGGACTGGCGCCTCCTCCACAGGAGCCGCCCCAGGGCCATGGCATGCCGCCACAACTGGGAGGACCCCAAGGCCCCCCAGGACTGAACCCTGCTCCTGGTCCGCCACAGCACTTTGGTGGCTACCAGCAGGGTCCATCTGTCAATGGTAAGCGTCAAAGACTCCATGCTTCCGCCCTCGTCTTGGCTAACACATCGCAGGTTATGGTCAGCCTCCACAGCCCACTGCCTCACCTGGTGCTAAGCGTCCAGGTCCTGCCCGCGGTCCCCCCAACGGCCCACCCAATCCCGCCACTCCTCAGCAGAACAACCCGGCACCCTACCCCGGATCGCCTCAAGTCCCGCGACCGACTCCTCCTCCCCACCATCAGCAGCCGAGTGCGTTGATGGCGCCCAACCACATTCCTCTCAGCCAGAGCAACGTCTTGGCTGATCTAGACATTGAGCAGTTGCCAGAGAACCTGAAGAAGGAGGGCAGCGATTGGTTCGCGGTCTTCAACCCTCGTTCAAGACGTGTGCTTGATGTTGACTTGATCCACAACCTACCCCATCAAAGTGTCGTCTGCTGCGTACGCTTCAGCTTGGACGGAAGGTGGGTTGCGACAGGTTGCAACCGTTCAGCCCAGATTTTCGATGTCGAGACTGGAAACCCTGTCGCGCATCTTCAGGATGGAAGCCTGCCCGAGGACGGCGATTTGTACATCCGAAGCGTCTGCTTCAGTCCCAGCGGCCAGTACCTTGCAACCGGTGCTGAGGACAAGGTCATTAGGGTAAGTTTGATCCTGACTCGCTCTATCAATCATGACTAACATTGAGCCAGGTCTGGGACATTGCTACCCGCACCATCAAGCACCAGTTCACTGGACACGAGCAGGACATTTACTCCTTGGACTTTGCCAGGAACGGCAAGATCATTGCATCCGGTAGTGGCGATCGCAGTGTCCGTCTCTGGGACCTCGAGTCCAACATGCAAGTCTCCAACTTCTCCATTGAGGACGGTGTCACCACCGTGGCCATCTCCCCCGACAACCTCTACGTCGCCGCTGGATCTCTCGACAAGAGCGTCCGCGTGTGGGATATTCAGACCGGCCAGCTTGTCGTCCGTCTCGAAGGCGAGCACGGTCACAAGGATAGTGTCTACAGTGTGGCTTTTGCTCCTTCGGGCAACAGGCTCGTCAGTGGCAGTCTCGACAAGACGATCAAAATGTGGGAGCTATCCACCAACAACCGCTTCGTCCCAGGCGGCCACCAACCAACCGGCAAGTGCATCCGCACTTTCGAAGGCCACAAGGACTTTGTGCTCAGCGTTGCCCTTACCCCCCACGGTGACTGGGTACTGAGTGGTTCCAAGGACCGCGGTGTCCAGTTCTGGGACCCTCACACTGGTGTCGCGCAGCTCATGTTGCAGGGACACAAGAACTCCGGTAAGCTTGATATATCTTTGCGTCTATCGTGTTACTAACGTTGCCTTTTCCAGTTATTTCCGTAGCTCCCAGCCCCACAGGAGGCGTCTTCGCTACCGGTAGTGGCGATATGCGTGCGCGTATCTGGAGGTAAGTCACTTGTCCAGTCACATTTCCCTATCCAAAAGCTCAAAATGCTGACTTGCATTAGGTTTGACAGGTATCCTGGACCTTAGGAAGGTCGTGGTCTCTTGATCAAGGGTGAATACATAACGCCATTCACTTGATTTCATCATTGATCCATAGAGAAGGCAAGTGGGTGGTGGGTAAAATCGGCAAAGGGGCTCTGGAGACAATTGTGTTGTTTTATTATTCTCGTGTTCGGTTTGGAGAAATCAGGACGTTATGAGGTATTTTTGATTCCCAATCTTCCTTTACTATAGTGAATATCGTTGGTATTCGACTTCGAACTCGCTCTCTCCATGCACCGTGATGTGTGTTATGATTTCAGTCTACATGAAATACAGTTCGACTCTGAGAACCAAAGTAGCGGTGACTGCGCTCCATCATGACTCAACAAGTCATGCTACGCTATGCGCCAGGCGATCAAAGTCGCTAGCTCCTAATCCCAAAGATGACTCAAACGCCACGAATGCTTGTTTCCCATCCGTCTACTCATACAATCAAACATTACCAGGCCCTGGACCTTTGCCTTGGTCTAGGAGCAGATGTGGTTTGAGGAAGCCGTCATCGATCTGCTTGAAGGCGTTTGCAGGATCGTGGCTGATCTCGTTGAAGAGCTGCTTCACTGCACCTGTGGCAGTCGCAACCCTACTTGAGCCCTCGGCCGCCGAGCCGACCGGTCTTATGCCTGATGTCGGGTACGGGGATGGGTCGCCCATTAATGGCGACGGGCCGCGATTCGGCGAGCGGCGTGCGCTGGGAGGAAGGTCAAGGTCGATGTCATCTTCATCAGCAGAGCCGCTATCAGCTGGGCTGAGGAGACTTTGGTCTGCGCCGTCTCTAGCACGTGGATGGCTCGAGTTGCGTCGCATAGCGCCGTTTGGTCGTGTGGGTGGACTACTTCGACTAACGGATCCGCTAGAGTATGTAGCGTCGGGTCCGTTGACATTGTTGAGTGAGAAGCCATTTTGGCCGGGACGTGGGGTGTTGCCATAAGCTTGACCCTGTTTGCGTGTGTAGGTGCCGCCATTAACGACCTCAATGTCGAACTCATCATCGCTGTCAATCTCTTCGACTACACCAGTGCGGATACCCAAAATCTCTAGCATGCGTGCAGTGGTACCGCCGAAGATGATGACAGTCAGAACGACTACGACAAGAACTGTGGCTCGCAGTGTGTCGCCGTTGTTACCTGTGAGACCTGCAGCAAGCGCAACACCTACAGCACCACGCAGGCCTGCCCAGTAGATCATGACCTGGTGAGGATAAGGAATCTCTTCCACAACTTCGTCGCCGCGACGGCGCTGGCGATATCTTGTGACAGAGTTGATGAGCCTTGAAAGAGGAAACACTGCGCACCAGCGAGCGGCGCAAATGCCGAATACGGTAATCAATATGAAGAGGGGCTTGTAATCGAGCTTGTCATCAGTGAAGAGGGACAAGCCTAGGTAGATGAAGATGAAGTTCTCCGAAATCTGGGAGGTGACCTGGAAGACAAACTTGGTGGTTAACTGGGTCCGTCTTGACATGTTGTGGTAAGCGTAATGCTTCATGCAGATACCGCAAAAGAGCAAAGAGACGATACCTACAGGATGATTAGCAGACGGCCAGAGAAGGAAGACGGTGAAGACTTACCAGACATGTGGATAGCATTGGACAGAAAGTATGTCAAGTATGCGGTGAGTATGATGAGACAGCTCTCAGTCTTGGGGAAGCGCCTAACATAGGTGAACTTGAGCATCAGAGACACGCCGATGCCGACCATGACACCTATGAACAGACTTCCGAAAAAGACGCCGAGGAAAATGCCTACGGCTTCAAAAAGGCTCATGAAGCCCAGAGACTCAGCACCGTCCTTGTACTTTTGTGCAGTCTCGAAGACGACGATGGCGATGGCATCGTTGAGAATAGACTCGCCAAAGATGATGGTGTATAGCTTGGGCTCTACTTTGTACGTATCGAAGATGGCAAGAATGGTAACGGGATCAGTGGCCGAGAGGGTAGCGCCAACAGACATGGCCTCGACGAAGTTGATCTTGAAGCCATCGAGAGGTATCCTGGTCCACAGGAACAGGATGATGCCAAGGACTAGGGCGGATATGAATGAGCCAGCGAAGGCAAAGGTGAGAATGGTTCCAATGTGTCGGAAGAAATTGCCTTGGTGGAGTTCATAGCCAGCCGAGAGGATGATGGGAGGCAGGAGCAAGTTGAAGAACATCTGGTAGTCGAAACTGACGACATCTCGGACGGAAGCGACTGCTGTCAGGCGCAGCAGCAGGCCAACGACCATGCCTGAAGGGCGTTAGCGAGCATCATAGCGCGATTGGATTACGAGATGGACTAGGCGACATCGCAGGTGGATATTGCAGGTTACCCCACAATTAGTCGGGTGATGGGCTTCGGGCTGCAAGTGATCGGAATTTGTGGCCTTGCCCATGCACACTACGCCGAGCTTGTCTCAACGGACGCCAAGCTTGCGGAAGGGCCCAAGCAGCCGCGGAGGGTGGTGTGGGAACGACGTACCTGCAAAAATGGACAGTACTGTCTCATGGACGGCCTGGATCTTCCGCGTGTGGAGTATGTAGCTCGTGAAGAGGGCTATTATGAGGAGCATAATCAGGATGGACAGGGCCCACGATGTGAATATCTCCTTCTGGCCAGCCTCTGGCTCGTCTGTTGGCGCGCATTAGAGATGGGATCGCCGTGTGTGTGTGTGGAGCGGGGAACTGACCGTCCGGGTCTGCGTCGGATGCATCGCGCTCTGCCGTCAACAGTCAGTATGTATGCCGGGCGTGTCAGACTAGAAGAGTCGAGGGCGCATACTGAGTAGCTGGCCGACTGCCCACCAGCCCATTATCGACGCCATGGTGGAATCAAGGCCGGGCGGTCATCAACAGCGCGAGCGTGTGCGGTATCGCAGGAGGATTGCGCGGGGGTTGTGGGCGTATATGTCGAGGTTACAGGTGGCCGCTGGGCGTTGGATGCTGGTCCTGGGGCTGCCTGGATGGGACGGGGCCTAGGGCAACGTTGCGCAAGGAGTGGAGGCCGGAGCGGCGTTGGGCGTGTCCGGGCAGGGCTAGGCGCGCTGGATGCAGGTCTGGCAGCGTGGAATAGCGATGCGAGGCTGGCGATATGGCGATATGGCGACCTGGTGAGGCTCTGAGGCTCCTTGCAGACGCGTCGCTGCCTTCGCACAGCGTCCAGGTGTCTCCATGTCTCGGCTGCCGTTCCAGCGAGCACCAGCCTTGATTGGGCCTAGCGCCATCGACGAGGGTCTCAGAACCGCTCATGGGGCGACGTCATGGCACGCACACTGGCTAGCACGCCTGCATGACATCTACCCAGAATCACCTGCAAGACCTGCTAGACCCTTCACCAAGCCTACCGCACACGGCTGGCACCCACATGACCTACACCGCCTCGAACCTGATCGTGACTCCCCGCCCGTTATAGACCTGCCTGCTGCCCGCCCCTCCGCCGTCTCTTTGAGCAGCGCCGATTGTGAACTTTGGTCGAGATTCGAGATCGATCGCCGCCGCAGCCCCAGCGGTCCCACTAGCGCCTCTTTCACGCTCGATACGCTTTGGAGCATGGCCTGAGTCCCACCGCGCCACTCGCCTTTTGTTGATAGTCTGCCTCTCACCACATCTCTCCACCGCGCATCCTCGCATCCTCGTACTTACCCACCTCGCTGCTGCCAATCACAATCTCGCCGACCCTGACAGCGAGTCGTAAGCCACCAGGGCTGACCACGTCGCCCGCGCAGGCCACTCCACGCACTCTCCCCAGATCAGGTTGCGACTGCCACCTGCCCCATCATGTCGTCCTCACGGCCCAACGGCGGCGACTCGCGCTCCTCTTCACCTCGTGCCTCTCCTCCCTCCAGAATCGACACTTCCGCCCGCCCCAAGCCACGCCCCAAACTCGTTTCCTTTGGCCGCGACTCGCTCATGGGTGGACGACCAGACACTGAAGGTCACACCCACGTCGAATTCATCCACGAGAACTCGCCCACCATCATCCCCCAAAGAATGTCCTCCGAAATCGACCCGCTCCTTAAGGAGAGCCTGTCGCCCGACGACGACGACGATGACTGGATGGGCGAACAACAGGTCGAGGAGACAAAGAGCAGTTGGTTCTTGTTCTTGCTCACCTTTGGAGGCCTCGGCCTGCAAATAGGATGGTCCGTAGAGACTTCCAACGGATCGGTAAGTGCTTTTTCTCGCTGCAAATCTCCATGAGGACGACATGGGCCCTGCATGCAGATCCGGCACTGAGGTCGTGTGAGCCATGCATGCACGACCCGTCGGACCACCGCAGCCCACCTCGACCGCGAACTATGCTAACTGTACGCAGCCATACTTACTATCGCTCGGTCTGAGCAAGTCGATGCTTGCTCTCGTGTGGATTGCCGGCCCTCTCTCCGGAGTACTTGTCCAGCCCTATGTCGGTCTCAAGAGTGACAACTGCCGTCTGCGCTGGGGAAAGCGGAGACCCTTCATTATCGGCGGTGCTGCTGCGACCATCGTGTCACTCATGGTCCTCGCTTGGGCAAGGGAAATCATCGGAGGTTTCCTGGGCCTCTTCGGCGCTGACCCAGAGTCGTCTGGGGTCAAGACGTGCATCATGCTCTTCGCCGTCTTGTTCGTTTACGTGCTCGATTTCGCTATCAACGTCATCCAAGCTGGTGTGCGAGCATACATCGTCGACGTGGCCCCTACCCATCAGCAGGAGTCGGCCAATGCATGGCTGATGCGCTCGGCTGGCATTGGCAACATCTTGGGTTACCTAGCTGGTTATATCAATCTGCCAGATTACCTTCCCTGGCTCGGTGGCACACAGTTCAAGGTCCTCTGCGCTATCGCCTCGTTTGTCATGGCTATCACTGTTGGCATCAGTTGCTCAACCTGCTCAGAACGCGATCCCCAATTTGACACTGCACCGGCCGAGCAGCAGGAAGGTGTCATGGCCTTCTTCAGGGGCCTCGCGCGCTCAGTCAAGAAACTCCCGCCTCAGATCAAGAAGGTCTGCATGGTGCAGTTCTTTGCTTGGATTGGATGGTTCCCATTTCTCTTCTACATCACTACCTATGTTGGCGAAATCTATGCCGACCCCTACTTTGAGGAGAACCCCCACCTGCCAGATGGCAAGATTGACGAGATCTTGGAGAGCGGTACCAGGATTGGCACCAGAGCGCTTTTGGTGTTCGCTATCACCACCTTCTTCTCCTCTGTCATCCTGCCGTTCGTCATCCCTCCGACGTTCCAAGCCCCAGAACCCGACCGTCCAATAACCCCGGCAACGCCTATGACACCGACAACCCCACATTCCATGGGTGGCTCTGGCTACTTTGCTCTAGGTCCGGCACGCAGGGAAAACCCAAACACAACTATGGAGAAGATCGCCAAATCGTTGGAAACGTTGCAAGTCAAATCGCTCACTCTCCGTCGATCCTGGTTCATCTCACACATTCTCTTTGCCGTCCTCATGGTCCTCACCTTCTTTGTTCGTAGTACGTTGGGAGCTACAGTTCTTGTCGGCGCCATCGGTATTCCTTGGTGTGTGACCAACTGGGCTCCGTTCGCCATCATCTCCTCTGAGATCTCCAAGAGAGACGCCATCCGTCGCGGTATCATCAAGCCTCGCGACCGCGAATCTCAGCTCATCGCCGAGGGAGAGGATGACGGTTCTGGCGCCGATTCTGCTGGTGTTGTGTTGGGTATTCACAACGTCGCCATTGCAGCGCCGCAGGTCATCGCAACACTTGTCAGTGCCATCATGTTCAAGCTCCTACAAAAGCCTAGGGGCACGGCAGGTGACACGAGTGTAGCCTGGGTGCTGCGCTTTGGCGGCATCTGCGCTCTGGTCGCTGCGTGGTTAACGCTGCAAGTTAACGAAGAGAAAGAGGAAGAGGAAGAAGAAGAGCCTTTCAGAAGAAGGCGGATGTCTTAGAACGACTCCGATGAACAGTCTATTACGCGCCTAAGACGCGATTTGGAGCGATCTCTTAGCCGACAGCATTCTTCCATTGAGAGTACATCAAGTCCACAAGACGATAGAAACGAAGAGAGGATTGGAGATGAATGATTTGAACGATTCAATATGCGCTACACTATACGGAAAGCCTCACGGCTTGACTCTAGCGTTACAGAGTACTGTTTGGACTGCGATGCATCACGCGGCGAGGTCATGGCGTTTTATGGGGTTTGAGCGAGCGAGCATGCCTTAGTTTGTGAGCGCGCACGCGGAGTTTTGGAAAGTATACATGGGTCGGCAAGGGGGAAAATTCATTAGGCGCACTCTTTTGGGTAAATTTACATCTTACTAGTCAAAACCGCACGTAGTCATGGTGGTTGAATGAGCAAAGTTGACGACTCTCGCCCTGGACAACATCAATGCGACTCTGTGTTCTACTACTTTATCCCTCAAAGCACGAAGATGTCGGTGTGGATTTTGATCAAACGAGAGTTCCATTTCTTTATCCGTAACTACGTTGATGTATAAACAATTGAAGCGAAGTTTTCGAACCGCAACTTCCACCTGTCGACTTCTTCCCCACCGACCGATCAATCTATATACAAGGCAACACCACTCCCCGTCCTCGAACTACCTCATGCCCTCCTCCAATGAGACTTGATGTAAACCCACCACCTTACAAAGCAGGCTTAGCATTCTTAACCAGCATCTCAAAGTACGCCTGGTTCCACTGACCAGCCTCAGGACTGGGCTGGTAGGCATCGGGCTTTCCGCAGAAAGAATCGTACCTAGTGGCCGAGCTATCACTCGTACCATCGCTCTCACCACCAGGCTTAACCCAGACGAACGAGTCCACAAGCGAAGAGCCCGTGTTGCTCGTAGGACGAACACCGAAACCAGCGCCGTTGACGTTGCACCAGTTGCCCCACTCCTCACGCAGGCCAGTGACGCCGTTGCGGCCCGTGTCGACAATGGCTTGGCTGGGCATGCCTGCGGACTTGAGCTCGGGCGAGAAGAGCTCGATGTACTTCTTCTCGTTTTGCGCTTTGTTGTACTGCGCGTCGGAGGAGCCGGAGAACTCTCCTGGGGAGAGGTCCCAGGCGTTCCAGCCGGCGACGTTGGTGGCTACGCCGCGGACTTGCTTGGGGCTGCCTGCGGCCTTGTAGACTGTTGCTAGTTCTTTGGCTCCGGGCTCTGGAAAGGGGTGGTTAGTGATGGGATGGGGTTGGGGGGATGGGAGGGCGCTTACTTAGGTTGTCGTTCCAGCCGAGCCAGCCTCCGTGACCGGCATCGATGTACATGGCGATGTTGGGCAGGTTGAGCTGCTTCAGAGCGTATGCGACACCGTCGCGGTAGCCAGAGGCGGAGTCCTTGCAGGTCTGGAGGTCGGCGTTGGTGACCAAGTTGGGGAGCGAATCGGGCTCGATGACGAGGGCGATGGCAGTGTTGGGGTACTTCTTGAAGATGGCAACGATGGCTTTCGTATCGTTAGTAAAGGCTGTGATCAACAGAAATGATACACTTACGGTCAATGTACTCGGACTTGTACACGCTGAGCTCGCCAACAGCAAGCTCACCGTTGGAGGCCTTGGCGGCACAGTCACGACCGGGCAGATCGTAGATGACTAGTGCGGCAATCTGGTTGCAGGGGACGTCTTTGATACCATCCTCGACGACGGAGATCTTCTCACGGGTGTCGCTGATTATCTGTCAGTTGAGACTTGTAAGGACGAGCAGATTACTCACATCCACAAGAAAGTTCCAACGTCAGCAACCTTGAGAGCCTTAGCCGCCAAAGCAGTATCGGTCATCTGAGCAGCCGCAGAAACGACCTCGGATGAGTAGAACTTGTTGGCGTAGATGGATCGGGACGCAAAGGGGTTGCCAGACAGAGTGACGGGAGTGGCACATGCTGCAGCCTGGCGAGCAGTGATGGGACCGTTTTCCACGGGAGATGGGAGAGCGAAAGCGCCAGTGATGGCCGAGGCCACGGCGAAAGAGAAAAGACCCTTCATGTTGACGTTTGAATGTAGTTGTTTGGTTGCGTTGGTGCTGGAAGCCTTGGGGGTAGTGGGACCCTCTTATATCGGCGTTGGATCGTATGCTGCTAGTATGGCGCCAACTCAGCACTGAGGTACCGTCTCATCAGGAAACAGGCCCGGAGACTGCGGACGTTAGCTTCTGGGTTGGGTCTGTGCGATCAGCGCTTGAGATATGAGGCTTAGATGAAGATTTATCAATGGCGGCATGGTAGTATAGTAGGGGTCCACTGACATAGCACCAGCTGAGTGGGAGGCAAAAGCCTGGTCTCTCGAGGTGGCGTTGCTTTACTAGCTATGAGCTTTGGATGAAGAGTTCTTTTGTGGAACGACATTACCGCCTCATGAGACTGCCATTAGGATTATGCAGTGGGATGCTCTCTTTGGGTATCTTCCAAACTTCCGAATGTCATATTCTCTTTTCGTTGCTCAAAGTCGTCTTGATAGGTCTCCAGCCGCTTGGACCCTGCCTACAGGGTAGATAAATGAATGTTTACATGAGACGTATTGGGGTTGCGGGGGTGCTTATTGTTCGGGTCTCCTACCCCGCGATCTTAGTCCTCAGCCTCACTCGTGATGACGATGATTGGCAGTTTGCGACATCATCTACGTAGCCCGTAAGCTTCCCATCGAGATATGAAAGAGTTTAGTATCGTGGGACAGCTGATCGGGTCATATGATACGGGTCATGGAGAACCGTCTTCCGATTGTTGTTGCAGGTGAACTCCTCGCAACATTTAGAGTCCCCATGAAATCTTTGGCAATGCACGAGTGATCAACAAATCTGCAGTAAAATGACGCGAGTCCTCTTCCCCGACAATGCTGTATTGAGGGTTAATTGGGCTCGGCCCGATGTAAAACGTAAGCAGGTACACGAAGGCAGCCCGGAAATCTTTGGCTAGAAAGCTTCTCGAAAGGCTCGAATGTACACATGACACTCGAAATTGATGAAGGTCGATCTTGGAGGCTCTTTAATTTTGCATTTATCCTGATGCACTCCACATGGGAGGTTATGGCGAACGAGAGACCAGGTCGATAAGACAGCCAAGCCTCGCTACCGACTTGCGATGCTGGTCTGGAGGTCGTGTGAGGCAGGACGAGCGCTTGCGGTAGGCTTCTGGAAGATGAGGATTGGGGGAACTCCCGGGTATATGCGTCTGCCTAAAACGAGCATATGAGAATACGACCGGACAGCGCAATACGTAGCATCTGCCTGAAGGTGCGCGGTATCGTTGCATTTGACCGTCTTTGTGTCAAATAGTCTTGGATATACTCTTCTTTGCCGCACTGGACGGCTTCTGGTACACGATGGCATGATACGAGTGGAGCCTGGTGCTACCAATAACATCACAGCGGATTTGATCTCGTTACTGGTGCTATACGCGTGGAAGGCGGCAGACCACTTCCGTCTGGTCTTGTGAGCGCACGGCATGCGTATCGGCGCACGGCCTGCGCTGCTGCAGCTAGCTGTGTGGTTCGGACCGCGTTGTGAGAGAGTGAAGGTAACGGAGAGTCTGAAACTGATACATAGTGGTGACGACGACGCTCGGAAGGATGATCTGAGTGGTTGATGTGAGTGACGAGGTTCGCGTTCGCAGATGCCAGAGTGGTCGGGTAATTGAAGCTTGCCCACGCTAATGACGAGTCTATTCCCCTTCCAGCGTAGTCCCAATATGGAGGCCATCTAATGTACCTAAGCTTCACGCCATTGCCTCGCAAGCCTTGCGCTTGAGGAGAATTTCTGAGCTTGTGTGAACGTCCGCGATTCTCGAGAGGATAGTTAGACTTTGGTAGATTCGTGTGCTCTGAAAAGGGTGGGCAAAGAAATCACGATGCCTCTTGCGATCCACGCTTCGGCGGTGAGACCTTGCTCAAATTGCGTGAAGATTCGAAGAGACCTCTGCATACCCCTGCGAAGGCGCATCTGGACATCAGCCATATATCCATAGCCATTCGATATTGATGCTACCGACTTTTGCGATCGATCACGTGGCCATAGAGAGGCAGGCATCCATGGCACTAGATGCCGGCATCCGACTGGCGTTGGATTCCTACGTTCATGGCTCCCGTCTCCGGTACTTTCCAAGTCTCTTACTTTCTCTTGTTTGAATCATCTCAGCAAGTATAAATCCCGCATCGCTGCTCGAACACCAAGAAGAAAAGAGTACAATCATTCCGATGTACGAATTTCGGCTATTGAGCGTCAAAGTTCTGCGGATAGTGAGAGCCTATCCCTTGTGTTGCCATCCAGATCTCGTCATACTTTGTTGTATTCGGAAGGTTGATCCGATGGAGGAAATGAAGTCTGAAAGACGCGATACAAGTAGGCGACACATCGTCCCTACGCGCTTGTCGTCTGGGAAGCGGACTTTGGATGGATCTTCCGCGATGGCAAATCCTGAATGTAAACAAAGCTCACAGTTCGAGTTTCTCGTGCAGACTATGCAGATTATTGCGTACGTTGATGGGTAACGGTACGCCTGGATTGCTGAAGTCGCAGGCATAATGGTGCGTCTCGCTGTCGCATCGCAGTTGAAAATGGTCCAACGCACGGAGCATTTGTTCAGCATATGGGTTCGTAGGCGACGCGACGGGCGGTAAGCCCTAGTGAGAGCGTCAAACCCAGGCGATAGTATACCGCATGAAGCCATGATGCAATCGCAATCCAAGTTTTTTAGCCTGCTATTTCCCTTCGATTGGGTACCATGCTAACAAGTGGCGACTCTTCATTTGTCATCCTGGTCTATCGTGGTGTCTTGCTCATAATGAACTGAGTACTGGACTTCTTGTCGTATGATGTTGTTTTTCAAGCTCGCATCATCCACTCGCTCGTCATGTAAAACCAAGTTCTGCGGTGCTGACGAGACTATCGCTGTGTTTTGGAGTGCTTCAGGCCTCAATTTCATCTGCGCGACTCGAGGGTCAAATCTAGATAGGGGCAGAGCTGTCGTGTCAGATGACATCGTGTCCATAGAGATCTCAGGCTCGTCCGGGCGAGATGCCTGCTTGCGTGAAGTTTTCGCTTTCCCTGGAGCAACACCACGACCCGACAGCTTGTATCCTTGAGATGGCGCATGAACCCGCATAAGCTCGCCATGACCGAAACCAGTGTTGAGCGACTCTGTGAACCGCTTGAGCGCAGCGAGCGTCGCGGCCGCTAGAGAGTATGATAGTTCCACAGCCTGCCAGATGACCACTGTGGCTGCCGTGAGAGAGACATCTGATGTAGTCGTAAGTTGATGTATCTCATTTTGGCGAAGAGCAGAGAAGATTAGGGTTCTACCGCGTGATCAGCTAATACAAAAGCACTGCTGGCGAGCGGTACGTACGGTAGTCGGAGCCAAAATGACGATATGACGATGAGTTTGGTTCGGAAGGCCATACGTAGACCCCACACCAACTGAATGGGCAGGAAGAGCAGGAGGACCTCGGTCATGACGTCCAGAGCTGTGAGAGCAATCCATCGTCGCTCACTCTGGGCACATTCGGAGTGCGCGGAGGTGATGTCCCACGCAAGCACACGGTGGACCGAGCAGTCGACATTCAGAAGGAGGACGGATGTGAGACATTGAGCGACGATTATGGCGCTTACGCCGTACTGGAATCTTCTGTGGAATCTTGTCTGTGTCGTGCGCAATAGCATGGCAACGATGGCAATCTTAGAGACGCATAGGGATATGACCCATAGGATGTTACCAGCCGTTGCGTAGTTGTTGAGTTTCTCGATAGCGGATGAGAGAGTAGCCAGCTCGGTCATAGGGCGCCCGAGTCCAGTAGAGATGGACGCAAAAACGACACCAAAGAAACAAAGCGCCAATACCTATTCGCATGATTGTCAGTAACGGCCTCTCGTCGTGCTCAAAATTGTTATGAAGACACCACGATGTACGTACCCCTGATAGTAGCACGATCAGATCATCGAGACTATAAGCTCTCCATCGAATATAACCTCGAAGGCATGCTACACATAGTGTGTAGCATAAGCAGAGACCGATGGTGAATTTCAACGTAGCTGCACGTCCTGGATCTCGTACGACTGCTTCCTCGTCATGATCTGCCATGATACTGCTCGTGAAAAGTACGCGAGAACTGCTCGGTAGCCTTAAGTTCCCACGGCAGGGCGTTAGCACACCCGTGTGGGTCGTGGCGTCGTCTCCAAAGCTGCGGCGCGGACAACCGTCTCATCTTATCACCGTACCCTGACTCGAACTTCGCTGTTTGTCCAACGGCGAAACCAGCTGGGAACTATTTTGTGCTGCGCGCAGTGAATGTATCACATCACCCCTTCAGCAGGCGCGTGGACCGTGTTGCGGCTCTCCAAGGGCCATTCGTCCGCATTTAACCCATGGCTGGGACCGGGCTTCGATAGGCATACAATCCTCCAATCCTGTAGCGCTCTTTGGTTAGAATGTGTTGCATCCGTCCTGTTGCTGATTGCATGCGCTGAAGATCGGAGAGGTCATTACGGGGTGCCTTGAACCTTGTCAATAACAGGCTGCCCCGTGACGTGCCAGAGCTTATCGCTTCTCAACAGCGTGCCTGACTGCAGCATTTACCGCTCGGCACTTGATCGTACATAGACTGCTGTACTTCAGCTAATCAACTCTTGTAGCTAAGATTGATCAAGTTGGCTACCTACAGTTGGTTTCCTCGACCTCTCGACGCTCTGACAGAGGAGAATTTGCGCACCTGCCCATGCTGGACTCCTACGACCGCCGATCTGCGACACCACCAGCCTGTAGCTAGCCTTTTTGACGATGAAAGCACGGTAGCACGCAGATGCAGGTTGTGACAGCGAGCGTGATTGATTGGTGCGCGGTTCGGGGCCCCGGGAGGTGTGTGGTGCTGCGGAGCAAGCTTGGACGACAGACACCTCGGCTGTTTGATTGCGGGCGAAGCGTGTTTCTGGTGGCCACGGAACGGCCCTAGGAGGGTCCTTCTCCCACGTTCCCTTCGATAACACGTACCCTCTGCATGCTCTATCAATGAGTCGCCGGTCGGCTATTTGGCCTCGCGACACCAATAGCATGATGCGCGACGGTCAAAGAGCATCAACAAATCGAACCTTTCCAGTACCTGATAAGCTTACGCTTGAGTCTCCTTATTATGGATACATGGTATGGTGTACATGAACCAACACAAGACATTGCACAGGCCCCCACGGATATCATACATTAGTGTCCTTGCGCAATGCACACGGCTCGAGAGCCCTGTAGTCTCAAGCCGCTCTTCCAAGTCCATCTCCTTAATTACTCATGGCTGATTCGTCAAAGCCTGTCACGATTTCAATGGCACGCCACATAAAGCGGTGATGGGCCCAAGAACGGCAGCTAGTTCCTAGCTCTAGGCACGGCTTGCAATCAACGTGTATAGTAACGGCTGTAGAGTTTGCATCTAGATCGCTTAAGCAGCGTCTGGGACGAATTCCCCCACTGCACCTCCCTCTTCTTTCAGGACATCCCTTACCTCCGTTGATGGCCGTTGTTCTGTAGTCACGTACTCTGTACCATGGCAGTCGTCGGAGAATCGAAGATTGTGAATGCCGAGGAGTACGACGCAGGAAGCAATGGATCCGGCGAAGCGGGTAGGATGCATGCCAGTGCTCTGGGAGGCACAGCCCACGACGCCGAGGACATGCAGCGGATGGGCAAGAAACAAGAACTCCGGGTAAGCCCTTATTGCGACATATATGCAGGAACTCTACTAAGTGTTCAATTAGAGAAATTTTCGCCTGATTTCCATCATTGGGTTCGTGGTTGTCCTACAGTCAACATGGGAAAGTGCGTTACTGTAAGTTCTTGTTCCTGTGCCGATCTATCCCCTGCTAAGTAAAAGCAAAGTTCAGCTTATTTTGGGCTATTCAATGGAGGCACAGCAGGAGTCATCTGGATGATGATTATCACATGGATGTTCGTCCTAGCCATGATTGCGTCGCTTGCCGAAATGGCCTCAATGGCCCCAACTGCCGGTGGACAATACCATTGGGTCAGCGAGTTCGCCCCGCCATCATTCCAAAAGTCCCTTAGTTACATCGTGGGTATGTAGTTGAATGGTCTAAACATCTAAAGTCTCGTACTGACACCATGTTCAGGATGGGCTGCGGCTGTCGGGTGGGTCAGCGGGATACCCGCCTGTGCACAAATGCTTTCGAGTCTCGTCATCGGAATGGTCCTCCTCGCGTACCCTGACGCCCAGATTGGAGAACTATGGCATGTCACACTGTTGATGATGCTTTGGCTGTTCCTCATGATCGGTTTCAACATCTTCTTGGCGCAGCATCTTCCCCTCGCTGAAGGTGTTGTGCTAGTCTTGCATGTCTTTGCCTTCTTCGCGTTTCTGATTCTATTCTGGACCATGGCAGAGCGTCTTCCGGCGGAAGAAGTTTTCACGACTTGGACAAATGGTGGAGAATGGAGCTCGATGGGCGTGTCTGCTCTGGTTGGCCTCTCAACCCCATTGTGGTGTTTTATTGGTCCAGACGCGGGCGCACACATGTCTGAGGAGTTGAAAGACGCCTCCGTGGTGCTTCCGAAAGCTATGATGTGGGCTGTTTTCTTCAACGGCATTTTCGGATGCATTATGGTAAGCACGCCTGAACTATTCTGGATGAAAGGCAGATACTGACTACGTACGCTCGTGTTAGATGATTACCTTCGTAATGTGTGGCGGTGCTCTTGATTCGGTTCTCGAATCGCCGACCGGACAGCCTATACTTCAGGCCGTTTACAATGCGACAGGCTCTATCGCCGGCACTGAGGTCATGGGTGCTCTGCTCGTCATCCTCGTCTTCTTTGCAGCCGTGTCCGTTACCGCTGCTTCTTCGCGCCAGATCTGGGCATTTGCACGCGACAGAGGACTTCCGTTCTCCGCATGGATCGAGCGAGTGCCAGCCGGCTGGGACATTCCCGTCAACGCGCTACTTGTCTGTCTCGGATCCTCGCTCGTGCTCGCATGCATCAACTTCGGGTCGGACGTTACGTTGAACGCCATCGTCTCCATCTCAAACGCAGCTCTCATCTTCTCCTACATTATATCGATTGGATGCGTGCGCTTGAAGCGTTGGCGAGGAGAGCCATTGCTCCCTCGACGCTGGAGCCTAGGCAAGTTTGGAGGCATCGTCAACGACCTAGCTCTTGCCTTTTTAGTCGTTTCCTTCATCTTCTCATTCTTCCCTATAGTGCCAAACCCTTCGGCTACGGACATGAATTGGGCGGCGCTTATGTTTGGCGCGATGGCTATCATCGCCACGGTCAACTATTTCGTCAGCGCACGGAAGAGTTATATCGCGCCTGTTTCGCTTGTTAAACGAGACTAGACGGCGAACGCATCACAGCAATCATTCATACCATAGACAAATGTATCACTATGCTGCGCCTACCGCATTCGATTTTTGTTCTGAACCCTTGTCCCTAACCCTTTTTGGACTAGCGTTCTCGTGTTCATTCCTTAACGAAAACCCATTTCCCATCCCCAATTCTTGAACATGATGTAGAAGGCTCGATCATATTTATAGCCCTCGACAACCTTGCGATCTACGTATAGCTTATTCTTTCTATTTGTGACTCTTCTAGATTATCTGTTTCCTTTTTTCGTACGCGATGATGCGGGGTATGGAAATGTGAATGGTCGTTCTATTTCCACCCGCGCAGACACTATCAGCTTTGCACCTGGCAGACTGGAAGAGCCCACGACAACGATGTCTCAACCTCTGAAAGAAGCCGACATTTTATTTCCGCACCTTTCCAACACACCAAATCTATCCAGCACCCTCTCTTCTCTGCGCCGCTCAACACTATCAACGCACAACCGCCTTAATTCAATCATCTCCGACAGCGATTTCGTCAGTTCAGTCGCATCTGCCTACGATCTACCTCTTGTAGCCAATGAACGTTGTGGAAGCTGGTACATTCCGCCAACCCAAAAGTCTGGATCTGTCTACTTCAAGAGCACGGACGGTCACATGGGCGAATGGAGCTTCAGTCTGAGAAGACTAAATCTGCAACTGTTGGATATCGTGGAAAAGTTTGGCGGCGCCGTGGTTGTGGACAGCACGAGGAGGGGCAAGAGCATGCCGGACGCGCTGAGCAAAACCATCCCGACATGGTGCTGTGTGATCAACAGGGCTGTATTCGGCACACCTAGGAAAGACGAGATGCGATTGTTTACGCCGCCACAAGCCGTGGGAGAAAGCGAGCATGCGCAAATGGAGAAGAGGATAGACGGATTTGTGCAACAGTTTCTGGTGCGTGTCTTATCTAGGCATTTCCGAATATATTCGCTGATATCGAGACAAGGATATCTGCAAACCTAACATCGTGGACCTTCGCAGTAAGCTGAAGAAACCCCTGCGGCCGATATGGGTGACCCAACAATCATCTCTTCCGGACAGTCCGCCTTCTTTCCCCGACTTTCACCCGATCGTGCTCTGCACAGCATCGCGACGGGTACGCGGTGCCGAAGCATCGGAAAGCGGGTATATCCAGGGTGCTGCCGATGACCACGAAGCATGGTCTTATGGACTCACTCCGACAGTCTTCTGGAAGAACAAGGACGTGATGATGAAGTCGAGCGAGGAAGATGCGCCAGCTCTGATCGAAAAATTGCTCAACGAAGACGGAGGTAGTAGCGCGATCGCAAGTCTGATCAAGCCAACCTCAAAACTGTACATCTCTCCTAGTGACCAGATGAAGCTCGACGGATTCGACGTTGTGATTAGTTGCACACCGGAGCCCTTCGCCCCTTCGATGCTAAAGGACGCCGGAGTCAAACACTACTTGCACCTCAAGTGCCAAACCGGCAAACTGGGCTCGCGCGACCTCCGCACCCAACTGCCCCGAATTCTATATTTCTTCTCGTCCCTGTCAGATCCAACGACCGGAAAGATTCTCGTGTGCTGCCCAACAGGCAAGGATCTATCCGTCGGCACCGCCCTAGCAGTACTATGTCTCTACACAAACGAGGAGGGAGCGATAGACACCAGTGCACCAAAGGAGACAAGTGCCATCGGAAAAGCCTTCATCAAGCAAAGGCTCAGTTGGATAACAACAAGCAACCCCGCGCTAAACCCAAGTAGAAGCACGCTCCAAAGCGTCAATGCCATCCTGCTAGAAAGTCAAGACCCAAAAGCTTTCTTGCAAACCAAGAGTAATGGCACGGACACTGGCATCATCACCTCAATACCGATTCGAGAAACAAGACCCCTGCCACAAGAACCACAAACAGACGACTCTTCCGAGACAGAAAAGCCGAAGCCCAGCTCTCCTCCGCTGCCTACTTCAATCTTTGAAAACCTACGCAACTCCCCGGACAAACCATGGAGCTTCACGCGTCAACTCCGCTCTACCCTACCGACCCATCCCTCGGGCACAGTGACAGGAACAGCGACGTTCACGTCCTGCAAACTACCAGCCTCCTTTCCACCAACTCTGCTCTACGCCGAAGAAGGCGAATTTGCAACAGAAACGGGTCTCAAGTTCAACGCACGCAGGAAATACGTGTACCAACTCAAAACGTCGACATCAGAAAGCACAGACGAGAAAGCAAGAGGAGACTACATCGCCGTCCGTTTCTTCGACGATGAAAAGATGCCGCACGCGGATATCAAGGATGGCGTGGGGAAGAACGGGGAAGGGGTCGGGGGGTCATTCGTCGACATGGGTGATCTGCAGACAAGTGGAAAGGAGGTGAAAGCCAAGAACAAGGAAACGCATCTTTGTGCCGAAGACTTGTATACGGCTAGTTGGACATTCGGACCAGGTGTTGTCAACTCGGCCACGGAGGATGTGTGGTGGGAAGTGCGATACGATGTCAAGGGCCCAAAGAAGGATTACGTGAGTACCACGAGGTACACCCTCATGTGACGGACAGAGAAGAGATGAATATAGGGTATCAAAGCCGATCTACATAACACAAACGACCACGCGCCAGACACTGCGAAACAACATGTTTGCCGCCAAGTAAGGAGTTTCCTGATTTCATGACTTTGCTCCCGTCACTTTCGTTACGAGATTCGCAATCTTCAGGAATACATTCACCACGAGCGCAAGCGCGGCGCTCGGTACGAGGATTTGTAGCCACTCGTACCACAGCTTCGGTCGGACGTCTGTCTCGATCCAGCCAGCGCCTTTGAGCGGTGGCCCGCCGTTGACATTGGGTGTCTCGCCCTCGTCGGCTGGGAAACGCTGGTTTTCGAGGAAGTATTGGAGCAGGTCGTCCTTTTCGCGCCATCGGGCAAGGAGCCAGTCGCTGAAGAGCTTGTCGTCGTGGAGGGGGATGTCGGCGATGCCGAAGCGGCGCCAGTACATGTTTACGGACTTTGGAGGGCGTCCTTGGAAGTAGGTACTATAGAGGGTGAAGAGGTCTTGGCCGTATTGGCCAGCGCTGTTGTGTGTTAGTATCTGAAGAATATGGATGGTAGGCTAGACTTACGGAACGCCCTCGTATGCCATTGTGCAGTCGTAGAGGTAGTCTACAGAGCCTTGCAGCTCTTGCAGACAAAAGGAAAGCCCTGTGCTTCGCGGCAGCAGTGCATGTCTTAGATCCTCAATCTGGTTCTTTTCTGCCCATCTCTTGCTCGATGCGCGACCATTCTTGCTAAGATTTGTGCCTTCGGGGAAGATGAGAAGCCACATAGGGTCGAGACCCTTGGAACCGGATAGTGGGCCGTCGTGACTTCTGCTCAGCTTCCTCAGCCTATGTTGGAAGCGCTCCTTGTCCGTGGACCACTTGCGGGACAGGAAGATGAAGCCGAAGAGCCTCATGCCCCAGCCGAGGATTGGAATGTATTTGAGCGACTCCTTGAGGATGATGTAGAGGTGGCCGTGCATGGACGCGCTGTATGCCATCCACCAGAGATAGACCCAGTCAGTGTAGATCTAGTAGGTGTCAGCTCATTGTTCTACAGGATGTGGCCTGGCCAACCGTACCTGGTGGTTCGAGACGAATACCAGCCTTTCTGGAAAGTCGCATTCGAGCAGGCCATCCTCCTTCTTCCTCATCTGCCCTCTTATGCTCTCGTCTCCACTGACGCGCATCGTGACGGGCGCCCACCAGTACGTCATGGTGGTGACGGTCATGCTAAAGTGCTGCTTGGTCATGGCCATCCACGCGTAGAAGAGGTCCTTGCTATAGAAGTAAAGCGGCAGGCCGATGTATTGGGTGATGGCGATGCTGAGACATGACGTTAGTATCCTATGGGTGGTATTAGCCTTGAGTGTATACGAACGCTATGATGCTGCCGTTGAAGTACGCTGCAAAAAGACACATGCGCAGAAACTGCACAACAGGCCCATGTTTGACCTTGCCGGCTGGATGTTGGGTTGGATCCGGGAGTTTTGGGCCGGAGGGTGTCTTGGTGCGCTGCGCCTTCAGCTTCTCGATGACGGGCACCGATGCGGGCGGCTTGCGCTGCCGGATGTCTGTGGTGGACATGATGCTCGTGGTGTGGGCAAGCATGGGGAGTATGCAGGCAGATCTGAGGAATATGATAGAGAGAGTGTGAGTGCGCGTGCACGCAGGCGGGCGTGGGCGGATGCTCAGGCGGACGAGGGAACTACGGATACGGCCCAGGCATGCGGCGGGGGAGAGTGGGACAGCGCGCTGCCGTCTGCATTGGGCGTCTGGGGGTGAAAGGGCGTGCGAGCGTGGTGTGGAGGAGCAGAGGGAGTAATCAGGCCGCAGCTTTCGCGCATCGTGTCTCCGGGCGCTGGAACTTGGTGCTGCCGATCCGCAGCTTTCCCTCAAGCATGATGACAGCACGGCGGTTCACCCCACTCGTTAGCTCCAGGGCTGGCCTGGTGCGGGCGCTAATCATATCCGGACGCGTTCACTCGCAACTTTCACCTCTTCCACCAGAGGCCCACGTCCACGGGTCGCACCCCTCTGCATGTGATTATGGAGTTTAGTCGCTGCACTTGGACTATCTCCGCGCGTTAGCATTCACTCCGCCCCTAGCATTCACTCCACGCTGTCTGGCATCCTACCGCGGTTCGACTCGTCATCATCCGCTCATATGGCGCCCACTCACCCCTCCAAGCTCTGCGCACAGCTTCGCCTAGCATTTTGGCCCTAGCTTCCTACTCTCTCAAGATGTTTGTACCCCATCGCGTCTTGCCATGGCGCCTCCTGGCTCTACCGGCCCAGACACGGAGCTTCTCTTCGTCTCTACGCCGTCTTGAGATAAGGCAGATTTCAGAGCTTCCCTCGCGCACGACGCCGTCATACATACAGTCGCCCTCGAACACCCTACTGAGCCTGCAATGGCCGTCCCCACCGCGCAACATCCTCGTCACCAAGAAGAAGCGCACACCAAACATCACCGAGTCCGTGATAGAGTTCACGTCCCACATACGCTCCACCTACCCGTCGATAAACGTCATTTTCGATCCCGAGACTACTGAAGAGCTTCACGAGCAGCTTGCGTTTCCGGTATACACATACAAGCAAAGCCAAGGCGCACCGCAATACCTTTCGGATAAAACCGACTTGGTCTGCACGCTTGGAGGCGACGGCACGCTGCTGAGAGCTAGTAGCCTGTTCAGCCATGCTGAAAACGTACCTCCTGTACTGAGCTTCGCCATGGGCACCATCGGCTTCTTGGGCGAGTTCAAGTTCAGGGAATACAAGAGAGCGTTTCGGGAGGTGTACATGAGCGGCGCGCCAGACACGTACGCTACCCTCTCCGACTCGCACGGGACGATTCCACCCGCACCACCCACATCGCCCGATGACCCTCTGGACAAGCCACTGAGCTACGCCGACATACGAGGCAAGGCTATGGGAAGCAACAGAACAGCGCGCATCTTGTTGCGCAACAGGCTGAAGGTGGGCGTCTTCGGGCCTGATGGAAAGAGAATCAGTGGCATCGAAGGCGAGGGCGACACGTACGCCCTGAATGAGGTCACGCTTCACCGTGGCTCCAGCCCGCACCTGAAGATCATCGACGTCTACATCAACAATCGGTTTCTGACTGAGGCAGTCGCTGATGGCATGATCATCAGCTCACCTACTGGATCCACGGCATACTCGTTGTCCTCTGGAGGAAGCATCGTACACCCCCTCGTACCGTCGATATGCCTCACGCCTATCTGCCCTCGATCGCTTTCTTTCAGACCACTGGTGCTGCCAGCTCAGACGCCAATCACACTGCGGCTAGGCAAGAAGAATCGGGGTCGCGAAGTCGAGGTCAGCATTGACGGAAATACCATTACAGAGAAACTGGGCACGGGTATGGAAGTCCGCATAGGTGGAGAAGAGGTCAAGCGGGACGCTCGTGGCTGGGAGGGTGGCGTACCCAGCATCGTGCGTGGCACAAGTGGCAAGGAAGACATGGCTGAGGACCACTGGGTCGGTGGACTGAATGCTCTCCTCAAGTTCAACTATCCGTTCGGTGATCAGGAGCCCTGAATTTGCTACAACAAACATCACATGGCTTCAGACCGCGGTGGTCATATCAGCTGGTAAAGACAGCAATCATATCGGCTATACATAAATACCTACATCACCCCTTCTTCAGGGTCTCACCGAACCTTCATCACATCAACCTATCATGGCTGGACAAAGTTCGCAAGTTCCTACCCAAGCCCGCCAGTATGATACTCCATCCGATTTACGTGTAACAGTCTCGCAGAGAGGCTTCATCGCCAATGCCGTCATCAGGCTCCAAATAGGTTACAATATTGACGCTTCAGACTCAGATGAAGGAATCTCCAGAAATCTTTACAAAGAGTGTGGCGACTGGCTTGGTGCCTTGCACGACCTTTCCAAGCTGGAGGAAGTGAAGAAAATCGAGCTCTACTGTCAGCCCGCTCCCATTATGCAGTGGATGGAGATGCGTGACAACTTCGTGGCAGCAATTGGATTTTTTGAGCGAGGGGTCACGAAGGTGGGTGTATGGGAGATTGTATTTCTGAACTGATTTCGATGCTGCTGTAGCTCATTCCATGAAATTGCATGAAATTGCATGACATTCTTCATAACTAGTTCACAATCAAGACTGTGAGTATCGTAGTGATATCTAGGTAGAGCAGCACGTATGAGGTTCTGATCTAGCTGCATTCATGCTAGCTCACGCTAGGTCGTAAGATCCTCCAAGCGCTGGCCCGGGGGGCTGGAAATCAGCGCTGCGGCATCGACCTCTGAAGAAGCTCCTGCTCCTTCCTCACATGCGCATCGATGTTACGGATTGTTGCCTATTAGCGACCTTCGTTGATGGCGTTGGCGGACACGACACCTTGCCTGAGCCGACAACAGAACGACGCGACTCTGGAGTATGATTCGAATTGGCCGTTCAACGCTCGCCGCCGTGGCTGTTCTTCCACGTTCCAGCGTAATGATGCGTCACTAACTGTGGTGATAGTACAGCTTCCTCTTCAGCGCTGTATCTGTTCGTCATCGGTGCAAAAGAGCGGCCGGGCATGAACAGCACATCTGCGACGAGCTTGGGTTGTAGAAGCTTCTCCACGTCACTTCCCGCCAGATTGCGGTTCACCATGGCACCCAGACTCTTGTATACCGCATACGTCAGACGCCTTGGGCCTGTGAAGTCGACTACATCTCCCATCATCTCCATGGTAGTGTCTTCGACGGCTACGCCATGTTCGGCGGTCTTCTTAGCCAGCTCTTCCAAAACGTCATCTATCGCCTGCATCAGATGCGGTGACCGTGGCTTTGCCATGATGGCCCATATCTCCATCTGGTGCAAGTAATTGTCCGGCCAGCCATGGTCGAACTCCCAACCCACAACCAGACTTGTGTTCGCTTTGTACTCCGATGGAATCCAGTCGTCGATGGGTATGTTCTCACAGGAGACGTCCAGATCGAACCAGATGCCACCTTGATCCCAGAGCAACAAGTAGCGAAGCAGATCTGCCTTCCATATAGGTACTGGAAGCGCAAGGTAGTTGTTGACGATATCCGGCCTTGATGCAAAGGCGGTCCGAACATATTCGTCGCTACTTTCGTCCGTCATGAAGTGCGCTTCGTACTCTGGGTTGGACGTGATGCAGCTATCGGTCCAGTTTCGGGCTTCCTCCGAGAGGCCACGAGGACCCAGCTTGTACCATATAACCCTCGGTATGCCTTCATACTTAGGCGCTTGGACGGTTTCCTGGATGGGCAGGGCGATGTCATCGTGGGCGGAGCGGATGGTGTAGATCTGGTATATGAGAAGAAGGACGCACAAGGCAAAGAGCGACTGATAGCTGACGAACTTGAATTGCAGCCTTGCTAACATACTGAATGAGCAGAATGCCGAACGAAAGCTTGCTGTAATGTGTCGAAGCAGAGTGGTTGTAGCTGCTTCATCATCCACATCAACCTTCATGAGGCTGAATCACGACCGCTGACATTTGAGTCTTTGCAGTCTAGACACCAACGCAAATCTAGGCTTTGTCTTAGACAATCCTTGACAGTTCCGGAAATAAATGGCGCGGATGACCCAATGCCATGGACCCCACGAAAACCTTTGGTGTCAAGAGGTAGTACAGCATATTCAGGCACGTGCGCAACAAAGAATCCGCATTCCTCAACCAAAGACGGAAGTCTTACTGGCTACCAAGATCCGTTGCTCATTTCGGGGATCCGCAGCCTTACGCCCCACCGTGCGTAGACATGCAGATACTTAAGGCCACGACAGGTCTTGGCCCCAGACGGCTGGTGAGGTTGTGTCCTGTCATCCAATGATGGAAAGGGTATGATATGTCTCAGCCCGATTGTAAACTCTCTAGGGTAATGATTCATGAGGGACGGCGATGAAGACCAGTGAACGATCAGTACCAACGACAGATAACAATCATCGTCCGTGACACGTGGTTTGAGAGGCGTATCCCAAGCTCAGCCGCATGCACGAGATAACAGTTCCAACGCTGATCAACAGGAGTTCTCGCGCGCAGACCGACGACCTCCAGCGCCACGCTTCTAGCCATGACAGACTCGTCTTGGTATGGGAAAAGCGTACCACGCCACAGACCACTCTAATCGCCCAGCACTTCCAGGCTGCCGTCGTGACTGTCAGCTCGTAAGCCTCAGGCGTCACTGCACAGGCGCAATCTCAGACTCTCGTCGACTGCTTGAGGTACCGCTCCGACACTTCGCCTGCTTCAACCTTAGGTGCTTACCTCGTTCTGGGTAGCCTGTTCTTCACTCGCTTGAAGCTTACAGACGTTTTCAGACCCGAAGTTCTTTCTACCATCTTTTCATCTTCCAGCAGACGTGTTCTTCTTTTGGTCGTGCTCTAGTCGGATCTTGGGCTACTATAGTTGGACCTTTGTCCATGTCCCAGCGCCCATGGAATTCATCCTCCCGCCATCGCTTGATGTCGCACTGGACATGAGCAATGCACTCAACTACACTATAGGCGAGAAGATTACGGTTTATTGGACGGAGGCACCGGTCGGTACTGCAGTCTCTATAATACTGTGGCAAGCAGATCCGAAGACCGGCGTATCGATTAAGAACATAGAATACATCATACGTATAGCAAGCACTGTCAAAACCTAGAAGACCACTGGCTAACGATATATAACAGAGAGTGTAGTAAACAGAACGAACCAAGAATGGATTATCAGACCTGAGATTAATCTCAAATTGTCCAACCTGTTCCAATTGGCGCTCTACCAAGAGGGCGCAACAGAACCAGAAGACTTCAGCCGGTATTTCTACCTTGAAGACAAAACCGAATCGACAACAAAATCGTCCCTGTCGCTTTTGCCTTCCAGCTCACTGGGCTCAGCGTCTACCGCGAGCTCCACATCCTCCGCCACTGCGAACTCGATACCTACTAGCACACCAACGACAACACCACCATCCACACCCGCACCCGTACCGATATCCAGCGTAGCACCGCTTGAGAACAGCTTTCCCACATCAGCCAAAATCGGCATCGGCGTCGGGATACCTGTCGCACTCATAATCGGCCTCGTCGTTGGTTTCCTCCTATTCCGTCGTCACAGAAAGAAAGACGTTACCCCGTCACCGATGCCTGACACGCAGATCGCTGAACAGTACAAGACCGGGCCTAATCCTCATCCATTCAACAACAACTCTGGTCACTACGGCCCTCCTCTGAACGAAGCACCACCGGAGAGCTTAGTGGAGTTGGATCCACAGCACGCACATAAACCGCCGACCGATGGGGCAGCGCCGGCGAGGTACGAGATGTAACTCTGAGGATCTTCATCAGAGCAGTATATAGTTGAGTACACAGAGGGAAGGCATCAATCTATTGCTCATGTGCCTTTTCACTTGTTGTCAGCGATCGTAGTTTATCGTCATTGCCTTTCTTGTAGCATATTTCACATGACGTTACGTCTTCTCGTCCAACATACTAATTGCATCATCTACATTCCATGCCAGCGACTTGACATCGGCGAACAGCCTTACCGACTTCATGGAACCGTCAGCAGTTGGTGTACCGTAACGCTGTGCTTATTTCCGCCCTCTTGGTGACATACAACAGAACTTCCACGACTTGCTTAGCCGCCTTACCGGCCAACGCGTTGCTCACCGGTCCGTTCTCGACGTCCGGCAACGCCACTAGCCCCCAATGTTTTTCCGTGTAACAATGACTGCATAGGCGGAAATTAGATCGATCCAAACCCCGCCACATGTGTTTGAGCTTGGGTTGGGTATGCACTGTATCACTTCAACTCGACCGCAGTTAAAGTCAGGCGTAAAGTAAAAGGCTGGATTAGTTGGACACCCGGATTCGCGACAGCGGGGCAATGCTATGACCGGGCGGCATGCATACTGTTTTCCGATTTCTCTGCACAGCAGTGACTAATGGACGGGTTTCAAGTGATGTGGCTTGCATTGGGGGCTATGTAAAAAGTAAGAACGCATGCTATAGACGGTAGAGGACGATGGAATCGGGAGAACGGGCGGAGCCGACGTGCGCTTGAGAGTAACCATAGCTTCCAGAAGGCTCAAACACGATAGAACAGGTATCTACCTGGCGCCATGAGAATAAAAAGTGAACCCAGGTACAGCAAACGCGACGACACAAGAAACTGGGGATGAGAAACCAAAAACCACACAGCGAACCAACCGCGTCCTCACCATGAGCCTCAGCGCAGCCTTGCATCAAGCCACCGCATGACTAGATCCCCAAAGCGAGTACATGGGAAGCGGTTCGGGCCGCTTCGTATCGGAAGAACGCTGAGGGCTGGGGTTTTCCCATTTGACGTCCTCAAATGGCCCCGCCGCTGCAGAGTCGGTCCTCGCCAGGCTATCTGTATCAGGTGCTTTGATGGATTCGAGCTCAATGCCCTCGTCAGCCTCGTTATCCTTTGACGTGTTCGTGGTTCGATCGGCTTTTCTGATGCAGGCCATGACCAACAGCATGAGGAGGATGTAGCCGAAGAAGCTCGTAGTCCATGCGAGGATGATGGTGCTGAACATGTAGACGTCGCCGGCGGGTGGGTTGGAGATGAGTATGTTACTGATGGCTACAACACTATGCTCAATTGAAGACGGGAGGCGGGCTGCTTTGTTAGCAGACCTTTTCGTAGGGCCGACAGAATCCCTTGAACCGCCAACCGAGTGAGTGTCGCTGTGTTTCCAGTAGATGTCGCCGCGGTGGCTGTGGAAGTTCAGTCCTAGTGTGCTATACACGGCTGCAGCTTTTGTCCAACCGCATAGTTGATCGTTCCCCAGGTCGAAAAGTTGGAAGCCCTTGACTGCCAAGGCGTTTTTGACGATGTCGGGGTAATAGGTAGTGTATTTGGTGACGACGGCGTAGTCGAACATATTGTTCTCATGCGGGTTGCTGAAAGCAACCACTCTGCTGCCGAAGCCGTCGTGCGGAAGGCATATATTAGGCTTCGTGTGGATCTCGACGTTGTCGGCTCGAGGTATGGTTTTGGCGAAGAGTGAGGTAGGTAGAAGTAATAGGAGGAGAGTAGACATCAAGAACATGATTGCGATGCGAGACTAGCAGTCTTGAGGTAAGCGATCGGATGCTGCCTGATATCGAATGTTTGATAGTAAGAGCTGCGGCGCCGGAAGAATGGTATGGCGTAGTAAGAGTAGAAATGGTGGGCGCGTGATATCTTATAAGCAACCATGGCAGCATGCAGCTTCCGCAATGTAAGAGTGGAAACGAGGGTCGAGGTGTTGTTGTGGTCGCCAGAAGGTGAGAAGGTAGCAGCGATGCTCGCACGGTGCAGTCGCGATCGTCCACCGAGTGGGACCAGGAACACATGAGGCTGAATATTAAATGGAAAGCTCTTGGTGCGAAGCGACGAGGCAAAGTCTATGAGCAGTGTAGCATACAAAGCCCTACAGTTAGACTAGCACTCTCCAAATGAAGTGCAACTTCTCCTGCCCATTACCCCCAAGTGTGCAACTAGTACCCTTCCACGGTACCTCTAGTCCACGAGTCCTTCTTCGCATTCATCCCATATAATAATCATGCCTCGGATGCCTTGGAAAACATCAAACTCTGTCATTGAAATCGATCCAGGTGGTACACGGACGGTAGTGCGGAAGTTGAAACCACCGTAACATGCTATTTCTGACAGCATGTCTGCGGCATACAAGTCCACATCCGGGAAATCAAGAACAAACTCAATATTCGGAAGTGCTCGTATCAGTCTTTTGAAGGCAGACAAGAGAGGTTCGTTACCAGGTAAGCTGAGTTTCGCATAAATCGACGTTGATCCGATCAAGTTCCAGCGTGCGTTGTAAATTTTCCGGTAAAAGATGTATAAAATCATGACACTGCGCTTGTCCCATCTTGTCATCACAATGCGAATGGGTATTGACGCTGCGAGTGCTTGTTTTCTCTCTATGATCTCGATGACCTCCGTGTGTATTTGCCGACACGTACTAAGGAGGGCGATTCCCACTTGAGCGATCTGAAGAGACAAGCCGGGCTTTTTTGTAGCAAAGATCTCTCGGCATTCGTGGCGGAAGACTTCGTTCGGGATGTGCTCGTATATCATCAGCCGGAGTTCGGCTGGAAGGTCGAGAAACCTGAAGGTATCGGGACCGGGAGAGGGCAGGCGCGACATTGTTGTTGTATATAGCTCGAAAAAGCTTGAGGGTGTTTGGAAGCAAAAATGAGAGGTGTTCGAAAGCGAAAGATGCAAGAAAGATTTGATGAAAATATTATAGCTTGGTGTAATTGAAAGACTTCGGTCCTCGCATGCTGACGCCCGTGGTTGAAGCGACCCGTGCCGACTAATCGTCAACTTGCTAACATCACTATGACCCTAGCAACCCAGTCATAGCAGCGACCAATCAAATCCCAAAATGCCATACGGTCGATAGGATAACTCTGAGCTCGGACCTTTGTCTAGCGTACCCTAAAGATCTACGATCTACTTGCGAGCTTGCGCGGTTGACCTTTGGGTTTCGGCGCTGAAGTAGACTCTGTGGCATCGTCGTCAGGCTTTGAATCCAGTTCCTTCTCACGTTGAGCTAGGGCCTTTTCTCTTTCGTCTAGCTCTGTCTGTCGTCGATCAAGTTCGCTCTCTCGTTGGTCCAGTTTCTTTTCTCGGTCGTCCAGATTCTCCCCGTTTTGTGCATCGGAGTTCTCGCTAGGATTGGTAGCTTCAGTAGCATCGTTGCGCATACTGTCTGTCTGGGCTGATTGGGCTTCACTATCATTTTGCTTTGCATTCAGCTTCCGTGGCTTCTTGCGACCTTCAGCGTCGCTCTTTTGCGCTGGATCTTCACTTGATGGCTCTTCAGGCTGATTCGCACTGGGCTTCGAGTCCGAGTCTCCGCCCGTTGCTTGCGCACCAGCCTTCGCAGCGTCTGACACCTCTTTCTGATCTGGCATCATGCCCTTCGCACTCTCCATCCAACCCTCATCAATCTGACCTCCACCTCCCTCACTCTTGAACTTCTCAAGCTCTTCATTCCCGGGCATCTCTTCTTCGTTAGCTTGTCCCATCATCTTTTCCAGCGTCTTCTTCTGCTCTTCGCTCGCTGCCCATTGTGGGAGGAAACTTGTGAGTTTCTTCATCCCCTTCCCTGCTACTTTGCCCATGTTTACCCATGGGCCGTGGAGCGCACCTGTCGCTCCACCTACTCCAGCACCTATCCCACCAAGTAGAGTTGAAGAGATGCCGCCAACCAAAGTCCCGGTGATTGCGCCTAAGGTGGCACCGGGCGCGACACCAAGGCCTGTGCCCATTGCCATGCCCTGAAAAGCGCCCGAACGAAGATATTTTGCGGTCTTTCCGAATGACTCAGCCTCGATGTGTGCATTCGTAGCTTCTTCTGTCAGCCTTTCCCGTTCGTCCGGATCGCTGGCCGCAGCTGCTGCATCCTTCAATTCTTTGGCTTTCTTTTGCGCGGCGAGGGCAGCATTGGCGGCTTTCCCAGATTCCTGCCGCACCTCTTCTTCGGAAACGGCGGGCTTGTTAGACTCTTTGTTCTCTTCATCTTTCTTGCCCCCATCTTTGTTCAACTTTTTAGGAGGCATGATTGTTAGTTGGTTTTCTCAGAGTTGTGGCGGCTGCAGGGTATCCCCTGGTGTACGTCATTGACGCTAGCTTCCCCACTCGAGAACCTGAATTGGACGCGTTCAGGACGCGCTACGACCTTTCCATGTTTTCAACTGCACACGCGTGCTACCAGCGTTGTGGAGATGACTTCTATCATAAAGACTATTAATTTATTCAATCCATCGTCATGCAAGAGGGATTGCTTGAGCCGATGATGGCGGTTCCACACGCGAGGTCTATGATGACCTGTTCATCAGTTGAAGGTTGGTATCAGATGGACGAGACTTGTCTGCATTTTTTCATATTAACACAGGACAGGAACTAGCTACTAGGCGCGGCACATGCGACCGTCAGTCCGAACAGTCCAGGCTTCGCTGCCTACACCAACAGTGGCGTAGAATAAACTTGAAGGGTCCCACTTCTTCTTGATCGTCAACAACCTGGCGTAGTTCTGGCCCCAGAACGTCTCCTGGAAATTCGGCTGACGGAAATCGGCCTCGTTTACGTACGATCCGCTACCAGGCGTCGCGGCTTCAACAAGCGGGATGATCTCGTTCGTCATCTTGTCCTGGGTTGCGAACGCCTCCGACCACGGAGCTGTGAAGTTCCATGGAAGTGTCAAGGTCGCGTGCACGATTGCCTTGCGCCAGGCCGGGTGGACCGACGTTGTTTTCTCCGAACCAAACGCTTTCACATCTGTTCCGACTCCGATCCAGGTCACTCCCTTCTCTACGACAGCCTTCCAGTTTTCAGAGATGTTGCCCACAACACTTCGTGGGATCAAGCGAGTACCGTACTGGGCGATGCCGACCTGGATGTTGCCGAGAGGAAGGGGGCCGAAGTACTTGTCGTAGTGCTCATAGTACGTGTCGAATTCGCTGTATTCAGCGGTGTACTTGACGCCTTTGGAGTCCAGCCTAGCGACGAAAGGTGCAAGCATGGCCTTGACTTCGTCTTCCGTCTTGTTGTAGGCGTTAAGCGGGGAGATCATGAAAAACGAAGACGTGAAGTAATGGACCACCATTGCTCCGGCATCTACCATAGCAGGTAGCTCCTCGTGGAACGCTTGGATAGCGTCGTAGAACACGTCCTGGTCGTTTTCCGTGGTGAAGAACGACAGTGAGGCGCCGCCGAAAACAGCTTCCTTGTGCGCTTTGACAGTCATCCCTACCACAACGCCGTAGGTGCTGCCACCGCCGCCGTTGAGAGCCCAGTACAGGTCTGCGTTTTCTTTTGTATTCGCATTGACAAGCTTTCCGCTTGCTGTTACGACTTCCCAATTCAGTACGTTGTCGGCAGCGAGGCCGAAGCTAGTACTGATAGCGGAATGCCCACCACCCTGTGTGTAACCGCCAGCGATGCCCACAGTAGGGCACTCGCCTCCAACCACGACCAAGCCCTTGTCTCGGGAAGCAGCCATTAGTTCGAAACCTTGAACGCCGGCACCAATCTTAAAAGCCGGGCCATTATATTCTGAACCCATGAACGTCGGAACATGGGTGATTTCCTTGAGATGGTGTGTCCACACCGCTAGTGAGCCCGCGCCTGTGGAACGACCGAGATAATCATGGCCCGTGTTGCGGATGACGAGACGAATGTTCTTGGACGCAGCAAACGCGATCGCGCGCTGTACATCTGCAGGTCCTGACGCATCCACAGCGTAACGGACATAATTTCCAAGCTCACATGGGCGGTCTCGAGGCTGGAAGGGATCGCAGCTCTGGTTAGCGAAGAAAGGTGCCATTACAGATGAAGAGGATTCATAGCTGACTACACGTTAGAGTGAGATCTTCAAAACACATGTGTGGAACATACTGAATCTTCTCAAACTGCCAATCCTTCTTCAGACTTTCACAAGTCGCGTCGTCGAAAGTCGGAACGTGGCAGGGGGCTCCGAGTGGTACGGTTGCCACTAGACGTCCGCCCACTGTCTTGTTCAAGCTGTTCCACTCTGCTTGCGAAGGCCATGACTTGTCTCCTGGGAACGACTTGCATTGATTGGGGGTTGGGTTAGCAGAAACGACGCCAAGAAGCGCGAGGACCAGGGTGTAGGAACGCATCTCCAGGGCATGAAAAAAGATAAAGTTCTGCGACCTGAAAGATGTCAATCTCCAAGACGTACGGATTAATATAAACAGAAATTCAGGCTCCCTGCATGCGCCGCGCTTGACGGTGGCGAGCAAGCTAGAGCAGTTGTGGGACTAGAAATCTAGTGTCCGGTGGGGTGGACCGTCCCGGGATGATACCGCGACCCCATTTTATGGCCGTGGCGCCGATTGTCTTGGATCTAAGTCTACGTGAAAAAGCCCTCTCGCGGAGTTATGCAGAGGACCACAGGTTGTAGGAGGAGAGCACGCCTCATCATGAACACGTGATTGATGGATAGCTGTCGTAACGTCGGAGTCACTCTGCTGGTACGGGGACGGCGAGTTTGCCATCGATTGGAAGCTGGGGTTTGTACTGGCCATTCGGCATCTATCAACAGGGATCGCGCACGGCTTTTCTACATTGAGAAACCTCCGATGCAACCGAGCACGTCCACCGCGAGGGCGGGTCGGCGGCTCTCCAGGCGAGATGCAATCGTCCCATATCGTCTTTCTAGACCCTTAAAATTAGGAGATTTCTCACCGAGCAGTGCCGAACCCGTTTCCCGTTACCGTTACCAATATGCCTTGGTATTATTTGGTCTAGCTCTAAGAAGAAGGTCTTTTGTGCCGGCCAACACTTGGGCTGCATTGCAACCATGTGCGTTAACTGTTAGGCTACTATAACTTCGGACAATACTGGGAATATTTACAGGTTTCACCTCGTATGAGAGTCTCCTTTGCTTTCGATCAAGGCATGCTTTCCTGACGGGGTTATGATAGACCGGGTAAAGGCCGCGCTGAACCCCACGCGGTTTCGTCCTCTTGGACTGCCAATACGCTGGAAACAGTCGGAACTGTGTAGACGCTGAATCGCAATGCCTAGTATTTTGATGTGTTCTCTCCCAAAGGTGACAAGTCTACCACCTCAATCAAGGGAATTTCGAACACCCTCAGACCTACATCGACACTACGTACTCTTGTTTGCGTGTCATTGTCCTAACGTAGGCCTCAGGCCTGTTCAGCTTTTCCTTGTGCGAGGTGCTACTCAACCACTACTTTGAACGAAACTCCCTTGAGCAAGCCAGTGCGATGGGCTGGACCTACAACACTCCCGATGATATCGCCAACGAGGGGCCGCAAATCACTGCAATCGCAATCGTTTTCACAGCAGTGTCACTGTTGGTTCTGACCCTTCGTTTCTACGTGCGCGGCTGCATAACCAAAGCCATTGGAGCTGGTAAGTAGGCACAGAGCTGTTCCTCGACACATAGCTAACGTATCTATCGTTGCTAGATGACTGGATACTAGTTGTGACTTGGGTGAGCAACTCGACTCTCTGCTGTAGCTGTGGGACTGACAATTGCGCAGATAGCATCTTGTGGCTTCGCCGTTGTGACTATCGTTCGTACGTTAGCTGCACAGTGTCTGTGGCATCAAGACTGACGGCGCAATGCTAGAAACCAAATGGGGACTTGGACTCAAGCACCTGAAGGATATGCCGGATGAGAATCTCTTCAACTTTGGACTTGTAAGTCTCGCCCGCTCAAGTGAACACATTTCGACCCTGACCAGACTAGATACAGTACATGGGTGCACCATTGTAAGACAACAATCACGACACGACCACGATACGCCTGTCTAACATTCGCGATAGCTACATAACAAGTATACTGGGCTTCAAACTCAGTCTACTGTTGACCTATCTACGTATCATGCCAAAGGGCGCGTCGCGCAACGCTACCATCACCGTAATAGTCGCATGCATACTCTTTCACCTCTGCTTCCTGGTTGTACAAACCAACCTCTGCCAGCCGGCCGCGAAACAATGGGACCCTTCCATCACCTGGGGCCAGTGCCTGCCAGCCGTGCCCTTCTACACCAGCATGGCATCTTTGACCATTGTCTTCGACATAGTAGTGTAAGTGCCTCCTTCGCGTCTGTCAGCAAAAGCTTACCTCAACAGCATGTTCCTACCCTTCCCCGTCCTCCTCAAGAGCCACATCCAGAAGCGGAAGAAAATCGCCCTGTTGTGCCTCCTGGCCCTAGGCACATTCATCACGATCATCCAAGTCCTTCGCATCCGAACCGTTCGAAACCTCGCCAACTACCTCGACTCTAGCAGTCTCATTATGTGGTCGACTGTTGAGAACAACTTGGGTATAATCGTCGCGTCCGTACCGACACTGGCACCCCTCTTCAAGTCATTCGTTGAGAAGACACAAAAGAGCTCATATGGCAACTCGGCAACAAGATCAAAATCTTTGTACGCCCTAAGGTCGAGACGCAGTACCAGGCAAGGTTCTATCCCACTTGGAAGCGGTGTCCATCAAGCGACGCATGTGTCTGGGCCTTTTGAGAGAGAAAGCGAGGAATTCATAATGGGCGATGTCGCTGCTATAACAAAGAGAACCGAGGTGACTGTTTCTTCTCGTGTTCGGGAAGAGTTGAGCGGGCCAAATAATTAGTCACTGTCTTCGCATTTGGTTCAATATCATACTACCGCATTGATGATCTTCCCTGGGGGAAGCCTGTACTCTATGTGTTATTACGATGCTTGAGCACATTGCAGGAAGGCTGAGTCGAAATCTGCACAGTCTCATACGGTGCAACGTAGCAAAGCTCGCTTCGACAATTGGTTAATACATCATGAACAATTTATGCATATCTACGTCATGTTTAGTCTAGAAGTCGCAATGGTAGTACTCGGTTGCGGGGAAGCGTCGCCTTCGATGAGTGCAGAAGGCGCAGTGCCCCGAAAACGAGGAGACTTCCTCGGCACATATTGGGCAGGCACGCAGGAGCGGTAGGCGCCGCGCAGCAGTGGCGAGCAAATGACAGCGCTTTCTCGACTCAAGGAACGCTTAGAAACTTGCTAAACAAACGTTCTGAGCACCAACATCGTCGTCCAACTTTTCCCGTTCTCACGAGGCACACTTACCGTACCGTTTTTGCGTCTCGTAGCGTTTTCAGTCTCGTGACATTCCCTTTTGAACTACACAATGCAGTGCTGCGAATCGGACGACTCCAGTGTCTTCTACGCATTAGCACCCGATCCCTTGCGATACGCATACACCAATTCCAATACGTCGATTCGCAAGCCTAGAGCTATCAAATGCCTTCACAACCGCTCGACTCCTCCGTCGAGTTTCTGCGCGTCTTCTTTGGCCATCCTCGCATACCTATAGAGGATGAGGAGCCGATGCGAAGACAGATCGTCTACGTAGATGAGGAGGATACCATCTCGCACAACCCTGAGGCATACTACCTCTCATCTAGTATGATAGAGTCGTCTGAAAGCGAATCGCCGCTTAAAAGAAGAGCTGAGCGTAGCCCCAGTGGCGAGTCACACTCACCTAAGAAGGTGCATCTGCGTGGAGGAGATGGCATCTCAACGAAGCCAAGATGACGCATATATGATCACGAAAGTGCGATCACGGATCGCAACTCCGATGCCGACGGCACACAACTGCTTGATGATCTTCACTTCACGCAAGCATTCACTATTCAACTCGCAGCCGAACAGCAGCGTGGACTTCCCCAGGGCGAGATGAAAAGCAAACTTCACGCGATGAGCATGATCCGCCAGTGACAATAGCGGATGACAACACCGGAAGCGCAAATGCGCTACACAAGTCGACAGACCGAAACCTGGCACAAAATAGCAGGATCTTGTCATCGCCTGACAAGGACGAAGTGGAGATGATCGAGGAGAGGGGTGAACACAGTGCTTTAGACCACGAATACTAGGAGAGCAAGTTGTTTAAACCTTTGGATTACCTAGAGTATACCGCTGGTGAAGCAGGACGTATCTACTAGGCAGTCGATGCGTGAGAGATATTGCATACGTCAGAGACTGGCAGTTTGTCTGGGATGACGGGTGCGTAAGCTGGAAAAGATAGCATAATGGGTATGTAGGAGCAAGAATCTTGCCCAGGCCGAAACATTGATGAAGGTTCCAAAAGAAAAGTAAGCCGAGTCGCATCGATGCAGTCAGAGTACCATGTAGGTGATCTGCAAAGTGGAATGAAAAAAAAGCGCTGCCATTACAAAGGTAGCGGTCGTTACAAGGGCATGATTGGAGGCATCGGGCACATCGGTACAACGCCTCTACTGGCAGTCACAGATGCGTATCCTTCTTTGATCTGATGAAGTTAGCGATGATCCCGCGACATTTCGGATCTCCCCTCATACCCTATCGAAATGGGTGGTGGTCCGGAAAGCGCCACCATTTGTTTCAGGCCCATCGCTCCAATAAAGACGTCTCAACCACGCGTGAAGACGCGGATAGTCCAAACGTATCATCTTCAAGTTGCATTTGAAGAAGGGATAGTACGCCACGTCGAAGCGGATGAGTGTTGTGTACAAGCGAACGTCGGCCTCGGTGATATGTTGCCCAAAAAGGTAGGGGTAGTGCTTGGGTTGTGAAAGATGATCCTCTAGACGATCCAGCGACTGGAAGAGCTTGCTGACATGTTCATCATAGGATGCCTGCGATGTCGCGAAGCCGACCTTGTACACGCCGTTGTTAATCGTGTCGAATACCCATAAGAGAAGGCAATCCATCTCTTTCAGAATATGCGGGGGTCTGAAGGCAGCCACACCCTTGTTGACCTCGCGACGCTCCGGAGGAAGAAGAGGGTCGAATGCGTCGAACAGGATGCGGATGATGTCGGCGCTATCGTTGTTGACGGCAGTACCTAAACGATGTTAACCCACAATCTATTTCTCCAACCTTCAAACTTATTTACCCTGGCGTTGATCCCACAGCAAAGGGATGGTGATTCTCCCATTGAAGCTTGGGTCCGCCTTCAGATAGATCTCTTTCAGGCATCTCGCGCCAGACACGGGGTCTTTCTTGGGCCCGCTACGCCCAGAGAAGAACCAGCCATGCGATGCGTCCCTTGCATCGACCTCGACCAAGTCTATGACATCCTCGAGCCCCTTCAAAGCGTGTACGATGGTGGTTCGGTGTGCCCAGGGACAGACGTAGTTGATGTACAGCACGTATCGGCCCTTTTCGACAGGGAAGCGCTCGGATGGTATGGTATGTCGGAACTGCGAAGGCATATGGTTCCACTGCCCGTTGGCATCAACAGTGTAGCGAGGTATTAGCTATGCAGAGAGGTCAGTAAGCGTGGGGTGAGCACGCCCAGGAGAAGTCTGGAGAAAAAATGCCTAATCAAACCTTCGAAACCATCATAGCCGGTGGCTTTACGACTCCCTCGCTGAAGCTACGCAAATTAACTCCGAGTACATCTTGTCCGCAGAGGACAATGCCATAGCGCTGTTTTAAGGGAACCAGCTTTTTCCATTGTAACCTGGTGATTACAAAACAGTAGGAGGCGGGCAAGGGCGACTCTGATTAGTATAGCACACCGTACGCGAGCGGCAGCTTCTTCGGGTTGGCGAGCTGCCAAGTGATTACCGAAGCGCATCAGGCGCTTCGACAAGCCTTGTGGCGATGGTGTTACAGATGGTCGATGGTTTTTGTCAAATATCAGAATGGCTTCATTGCGATGCGGTCGACGAGGGCATGTGAGGGTTGAGCTCGTGCCATGCATCCCGCCGATCAGCCGAGGCCTGCTTAAGCGATGGTTTAGCTTCAATGCGGCGCACGCGATCCGTCTGTCTTCCTCAACCACCCAACCTGCGTCGCACAGCGTGCAGCTGTACTTCCTTTTTGTGATGTCTATTACATATCCCGATGACACCGAGACTTGCGATGGGTAGAGCTGCCGCTGGTGTAGCGAACATGACTGGCATCGTATCGATGCGACAGCAGGAGATGGAATCGCGGAATCTCGGCCGTTCAGTCATCACGCTCCTCGACGACAATCTCTCAGAGCGCGCGCGAGATGCGATTGGCTACCACGTTTCATAAAAGCACCGCTATACGAAGTACGCGTTGTTCACACCCCCCGAGCATACCCGTCGGAAGGAAGCGGTCGCACCACTGTTAGCTTGTATACGTCAGTACAAAGACTAGCCTCCTAGCACTGCCTGTGCTTAATGGACGTCGTTTGGAAGCGCGACACGTCGGCTGGATTCGCGAAAGGCCTTGAACGCAACGCGTTCGACAGCATTACATACATGGCATGGGGCTGAAGGACGCGTCAAGTTTTCATCGTCGCATCCTCTATACAATTGCCAAGAGAAACGTCACCAGTCATCGTGCGAGCTGAGCTTCTCAGACTCGGCCTATAGAGCAATCTGCGGCTCTTCGGAAGGACACAATTGACCGCCATCGCAGCAGGTCCGAATCGCGACGTCTGGCAGGACATGCACACGTTTTTGCACGATGACAATGAAGTCAGGCTAAACTGCTGTTCCTCGCTGCTGCGTCAATGGAACAGTACGTGGTTCGGGCTCATACATAACCCTTGACATGGAGGTTTACCTTCTTTCGCGAGAACTTCATTCCCTCTCTTTGCTATAGGTCTTTGATGCTTCTAACGTGTTGTGCATGACACCTTGGCCAGAGTCACAGTTCTTTGGCAAATGAAGATCAGAAAACCTGACCGCAGGTCTGAGTGCTGATCTTTTGCGAAGATCTGGGTTCCCAGCGGCTATATTGAGCAACTAACGAAACGCTTGCCGCGGCTCAACTCATCACCAGTTTATTTACCGAAGTATCATCCGAGACTCTTGGTCCCCACTAACATGCATTCGATTTCCCCAGATTTTCTCCTCAATCAGTGTTTTGCCAATCAACCATTAATCTACTTCGGTCTCCTTGGCGGTCTTCCCCATCTATTCGAGTATCGTCAATGGGTCAGATCGACCACGATGCGGCAAACCTGACAGAGTGGGCTTTGCGCAAAGGACTAGTATTGTGCATACGCATACCGCTAGATCTTCATATATAAGATGGGTGTATGAAAAGGACTGCCGCTGAAATAGCGACCACGACTCGATGACCCACCTGGACTTGCTGCCGACATGCTGAATTCCGCCCTGCTCTCACTGTTTGGCCTTGTGCCCAGCGTCTTGAATGTCGCTTTGGCACAGACGTTCACGCCCGCACCTGGAAACTTCCCTGCTAAAGGTGATGGCGACTTCGCAGGCGGTATCTTCTCGATATCCTTGTCCGAGCTACCCAAATATACCGGCGCTGGTGGAACCGGCCCTGAGTCCCCCAAAGGAAATGGCGCGAAGACGTCTGGCTCGGGACCCTACCCAGCGCAAATGTTGACCGACTCTACACTACCGAGACACACCATCTTTGCACCCAAGACCCCTCCGACTGGCAACCTTAGCCTCCCTTTTATCGCATGGGGTAACGGCGGATGCGGCCTCAATGCCGGTATCTACGAGCGGCTGTTGGTAGAAATCGCCAGCTATGGATACGTTATCGCTGCAGATGGTACACCTGACGGCTCTGGATTCCAAGCTGGTCAACAGTCCAAAGTACAAGACATGCGCGATTCTCTGGACTGGGCATTCGCCGGCAAAGCGAAGAAATACGGAAACGTCGACTTGACTAAAGTCACGACAGCGGGCCATAGCTGTGGAGGTCTCGAGTCCATGTCGACAGCGTATCACGATAACAGAGTCAAGAGAATCATGCTCTTCAACATTGCCATCTTCCAGGATGACAGGAGGTACCTACTCAAAGAGCTCAAGGTGCCTATGGTGTACTTGATAGGAGGACCGAAAGACATGGGGTACAATACCGTGAGTCTACCTTGAAGACCAGACAGTTCCCGGTCTCTATCAATGCTAATTCTCGATAGTCGGCGAAGGATTACGCTCTCCTGAACACGGGTACTCCCAAGTTGAGGGCCAACCTCGATACTGGCCACGACGGCACCTTTGCAGCTACGAATGGTGGAAAACAGGGCAAAGCGGCTGTCGCATACCTGGAGTGGCAGTGGAGGGGCAATGCGACTGCTCAGGCATACCTACTTGATGGCGGTTTGGAGAAGGATAACTGGGTTGAAGAGCATGCCAACTGGTCTTGAGATGCTGTTGTTGTTGCGTGACAGACGGATCATAGTGACAGAACTCGCTGTGTACACACGCTAGGCGAAAGAAATCTATGCGCAAAGAGAGTGAAAGTCCGTTGAAGCATCAGCATTGTACCGGTGAAGAATCCTGTGGTGGCGCGTTTCTCGAGCTGTGGTGCGATGCCTAGGCGGAGGCTGTGAGCTGCAAAGCTGAACGAACACGAGGTCAAGTGTCTAGGCAAGGCACATTCATCGATTAAGGAATGCGCAAGCGTGAATGAATATATGTGAAATGCACGACATATTCGCAAGCAATAACACCGCAGCATTGTTCCAGTCTCGCAGTGCATACACAAGAGTCGCCCAGACAGAGCCCACGTCATCGCCCTCACCCATAGCAACCAGCGACCAACGCCAACGCCAAACGGTTCAACCAGGCACGCCCATCCCTAGCCCTTAAACCGCCTAACTCACTCGGTACCCGTTCTCGCCCTCTATTAATATCCACCAGCGTCGCTGCAGTGTGGTTGCCGGGTTAGGCACAAACCCTGCAGAAGCGAAGAAGCGGGCTGCGCGGCGGGAACGCGACTGGGCAGTTTGGCAGGCTTGCGGGATCCACCAAGCAGTGAGGCTGAGACTCGAACCGTGTCTGACATCGACGCTGCGCCCTTCCATTGTTGTCCGAGGAGACTACGACATTCTTTCGCGGCTCTGTTTTCGCATCTCCTTACGCATACGAATCCAAGACGTTGTTTGTTGTTTAGCAATTTGCGTGACGCAGAGAGCAGACTCGGTAGAACCGGAGGTTACCCGTATTGACGTATCTCTGTTTACGCTCACCCTTCTGGCCTTTCCGCGCCCTTCCACGCATACTACGACTTTGAGATCGGGGACATAGACACATCCACACAAGATGCGGATACCGCAGTCGTACATCCAGAAGTGCAAGGTGGTGGCACATGTCTTCCAGGCCATCTTCGTCTTCATAGCCGCGTGTCTTACCATCGCTGTCATGACCAAGGATGGCCCCGTTGAGGGACCTACAAAGTACTTCTTTGCTATGGTAAGTTGCACTCTGTCCTTATTATACAGTATCATTTTCAAGATGGTCTCTTACGTCAATATGGACATGGCTGACAAAGGGTTGCTCGCAGTGCTTCGTCTCCATTCCCGCCATAATCTACCTCACAATGGTACCCATGTGGTCGCGCGCCCAACGCTTCGCCTCCGCCTACGCTTTCCTCGCCGTCGACGCTTTATACACTATCCTGTGGTTCGCCGCCTTCATCTCGGTGGCCATGTGGAACGCCCACGGTATCAAAGAGGGAGCCAAGAAGGAGAAGATTGCAGATGACGACCGCAACTGCACAACATTCTTATACGGAGATGAGGCCAAGTGCAAGGTCAGCAAGGCCGCTGTAGGCGTCGGTGTTATGGTCTTGTAAGCACCCTTGCAACCTCGGTGTCGAGTAGATCAGAACGTCTACTAACCCTCATACAGCCTCTTCTTTGCCATCACAACCGGCGTATCCGGCTACTACCTCCACAAATACCTCCGCGAAGGCGTCATGCCCTACCAATCCTCTTCGGAAAATACCCACTACGCCTCCGGCGACTCCGCCTACAATAACCCGAAAGACGCAGCCTGGTCGACCGAGATCGAGACCGCAAACGGCCGCGACTCCTCAGACTCGCTCGATCGCCGCACCGACCGCGGCGGGAACCAAGAAGAAGACGAATACGCGTTGCTGCACAGCACGGAAACGGATGAGGGGAGGCACCCCGGCCGGCCACTGAGTTGGGGCGAGGATAGGAACGGAACATATGGCAGCGGTGGCAGGGGAGCTGTGCCTCCGTATGCAGAGTACAGAGACAGCAGTGCGAGCATAGCTGCCGGCGTGGACGCGTTGAGTCCGGGCGGATATGAAGAATTTAGAAGAGAGGCTGCTGCGGGGCCTCTTGGTAGTATGGGTATGGACAGAGCGCCCAGCCACAGCGGGAGTGGGTATAGCTTTAGTGGTGGACCGGAGCGGTTGAACTAGAGGTAGACTGTGGATAGGACAGCAACGTTGCATTGTTTCTGCATATGAGCGCTTCTCTTGCTTTCGAGTAGGTCACCTTGCATTGGGATTGCGGTTGGGCTAGGCGTTGTCTCTTGGACTTGGTTCATACGTTGTCTGCGCTTTAGCGAATGGCTTCTATATACGAATACTCATCTCTTCGCATAGCACTCCACAACACAAAGCCTCGATATCTGCCATGACACCGTCGTGAGTGTTGTGCTGGGCTCGAAGAGCCCGAGGTATTGCATTACCGCTTCGCGAAGCGTTGGACAAGTTCTAAGTCGCGCTCGTGTTGCCCATTGATCGTATAGAACCAATATGCTTCTTGCTTCCTCCACCACCGGTTGGGTAGGTATGCTTCCCTGGCATCTTGTCAACAAAACTTGCGCCTAAATGCACATATGATATGGGTGATTAAATGACTTACAGCATATAATACTCATCCCGCTGATAGGGAAACTCCAGACTCGGCGGTCCATGTTTCGCCAAAAAGGCATCCGTCTCCTGCGCAGCATCTGCTTCCGTCATTTCTACATGGACACGTTTATTCCCTCTGTTCCTCGAGTGCCGTCGTATAGCTCGCGTGGTACTTTCCAGGTGCCGTTCTAGAATTGCCGCGTGCCATAGCGAGTTGTCTACCGCTTTGCGCGCTATACGTGCGTTGCGCGCTACGAGCTCTTGGTTCCAGTCTGGTGACTGCCCGCGCGGTATGATGGGTATCGGGGTGCCTGTGTCGAGGTGGTTCTGCCAGTGCGCAAAGTCTAGGACTAGGCCTAGGTTATTCCACGTTAGGATGCAGGTCAGACATGTGCACAGCTGGCATGGATCTGGCGATTGTATGTGTTGGTATGGACGGTTGTGTATGCTGAGTTGCTTTTGGCGCGCGGGGTCAATCAGGAGGGTCTGTATCGGTGCGTCGACGTCGGCGAGGAGTCGGGGCGTGGGGAGGCATTTGATGAGGATGTTGTAGCGGCGTGCGATGATGGCGTCGCCAATGACGTTCGCGTTGGCCTCGACGATGCTATGGAAGCGGTGGTTGACGAAGCTGAACTCGAGAACGTCGTGGGGACGGAGATATTTGAGCGTCTCGAGGATGAGCTCGGTCGGCAACTTTGTGATGTTTACGATGGCGTCGCGTTTCTGCTGTCTCGTCGCGTTCTTGCGCTTCATGCGCTCCGTCTTCTTGTTCTTGAGCGTAAGAGCAGCCGTCTTGTCCTCGAGTGGTTCGTCATCGTCGCTAACGGCATGTCGTGGCATAATGGGAGCACCACATAGAAGAAAAAAACTGAACAGGTCTGCAAACTACATCAGGACAAAAACTTGCAAAGAAGGTGACCCAACATCAACGTAGGCTCTAGGCTGTTCAGTTTTTTCCTAGGTTGGCGTGGGAGAGGAGACAGAAGTTCATCGGACAGTGACGGCACACGTGTTGAAGCCGAACTGAGGGTTGCGGGGAAGTCGCCTTCAGCCAATCGGGTATAAGAAAAGTCCGCACAGTCTGGATGTAGCCTATTACGTAGCATCGTCTTCGCCACCAAAGCACGCGACTGCTCACGACGATTTCACGGTCGGCGTGAAGGAGAAATCTGATTGGCTAGTTCATGAGCACATCGGCCAAACTTCAGTATGGCGTCATGTATCATTTCTAAGCAGTGGAGCGTACATAAACACCTGCAGCATCAGCTCCATCTTGCTTCTCAACTAAGAACCCCACTCAACCTGATCACGATAGAACCACGCTTATGAGCGTTGCCACAAGACTTGCGACTTTCACAAGAGCAGCCCGATCCAGCTACAGCCACCACTTCCCAAAGCTACATCAGACAGCTTCCTACACCCCATACCTGGGAAGCCACGCGCAAACTCGTCTTCTCCGATCTGAAGCTCAAACATCCAAGATGACCACAGCAAGCTTCTCCCACATCGACACCGACTCCTATTCTGGAAAGCCTTGGGCCAAGGTAGACGGTCCCGGCACCAGTTTCTCGCACAAATGGCACGAGCGATCCGTCCACAATCTACGAGGCCACGAACATAAATTCAACACCGACAACTCCGGTTTCGCCGTCTACCAATATCCCGCCAAAGAGAAAGCCTTCACAGACGACGCAGCAGTACGAGAAGGCTACTACGCCGAAGTCGAAGCCTTACTACGCAACAAGCTGCCAGGCGTGAAAAAGGTCGTCATCTTCGACCACACGATCCGGAGACGAGACAAGAACTCACCTAGGCAACCAGTCCAGCAAGTCCATGTAGACCAGACCGAAGCCGCCGCAGAAGCACGTGTACGCCGCCATCTCTCACCTGAAGAAGCCGACGAATGGGTAAAAGGCCGCTACCAAATCATCAACGTCTGGCGACCTATCGAAAACCCTGCTTCAGACCATCCCCTCGCCATGATAGACTGGAGAACAACATCGCCACCCGATTTCGTTGCTACAAACCTCCTATACCCTAAGCGCGCCGACTCCATGGACGTCGACGATAGGGGTAAGGAAGTCCTTCCTGATCCAAATAACCATACTTCCACAGACGGCTACGAGGTCAAGGGCGAAACTATGTCGGTGGCAGCGAACGACCAGCACAAATTCTACTACCAGAAAGATATGACGCCTGAGGAAGTTATTTTGCTCAAGTGCTATGATAGTTTCGGGGAGGGTATGTCTCACGGCAAGAAGGGTGTGGCTGTTAGAACACCACACACTGCTTTTGCGGATCCGAATACGCCCGAGGATGCACCGGGTCGGCAGAGTATTGAGGTTAGATGTTTGGTATTCTATGAGTAGGGTAGCTGTGTCGAAATGAAGACAAGCTAGCTGTTCAAAAGTCATCACACGCATGTAGTTGTTGAGCTGTATGTCGTCAAGTTTATATTTAATTAGTCTATCTAAGCGAATCTATAGCCGCAATCACACTAAACTTTGGTATCGTAAGACCAGGAACGGCGTGCAAACGATCTATCGCGCATACAACAGTGAGAACATCCATCTACGCCTTCGTGTGGGCTTCAACGCGTGCCTCGGTAGATTCCAACTCAAACGAGTCGGTATCCTGGGGCCTCCAGAACTTCTTGTCGCCCTTCATGGCGCGGATAAACCAGGGTTGAGCGCGTGGCGAATCTGAGCGGACTGGAATGAAAATGTTAGCGCAGCTTTTGGGAAGGAATCAGTACATGGAGAGACTTACAGCTCCAGTATTCCTTGTTGTCATAGTCGGGTGGAAGTAGGCGTCCGCCTGAGATGGCACCGAGAGCCCATGTTGTTGTATTTATGATGGCGTAGCACATGATTCCAGCGATGAGACCGTACGCAATGGAGTAGGAGAAAGGCATGAACATGAGTGTGACGAAGGCGGGGATAGAATCGCCTGGATAGTTCCAGTTGATGGCCAAGACACCGCGCATCATCATGCAGCCGACCAAGATGAGTGCTCCACCTGTTGCCCAAGGCGGGATGGAGGCGAAAATGGGTGCGAAAAAGAGGGAGATGAAGAAACAGATGCCCGTGGTAATTGCTGTGAGACCTGTGCGACCGCCTTCTTGGATACCAGCCTGTAGATATTAGTATGGAGGAAACTCAAAGCAGTCAGATATGGTACTTACACCAGACTCTACGAAAGCGGTGACAGGCGAAGATCCAAAGAGGGAACCGATGGAGATGGCAATAGCGTCCGCTGAATACGCAATAGTCGAACGGGGAAAGTCGCCCGTGTCAGGATCGACAACGCCCGAGAAGCGAGCCATGGAGTACAAAGTACCCGTCGCGTCCAAAATATCGACGTAAAGCATAGTGAAGACGGCCAGAGCAAACTGCCCGCCCACGTTGGACAGATCCCAATCCTGTGCCAACAAAGTGTGTTTGATAGGATGGAAAGCGACAATGTTCTTGAAGAACTCGAAACGGCTGTCACCAACTGTTGTGCGGGGGAAGTAGGTGATTGAAGTGTCGCGAGGCCAGCAGAAGATCGAGACCAGTGCAATACCAAAGATCATCGACCCACGGATTTTGTACGTCATGAGAAGTGCAGTGAAGACACCGCCCACAAGGAAGCCGAGCCACATGGTTGGGTTGGTGGCTTTGTGAGAGAGACAGGAGCCAGTATCCGGGTCGAGGTATTCCGTAGGGCAACCTCCAAGGTCAAGTGGCGTGGCTTTAGCTCCTGTAATCGCACCGATACCAGCAGAGTATGAAAGTCCGATCAGTGTCAAGAAGAGACCGATTCCCGCACCACATGCGACTTTGATGCTAGCAGGAATTATGCGGGCCAACCATTGGCGAATACCAGCGAGCGAGAGGGCAACGAAGATGAAGCCTTCGACGAAAACAGCGGTCATTGCGACACGGTAGTCGATGGGACCAGTGCCGTGGAACCCCACGATCTGATACGCCAGATACGCATTAAGGCCCATAGCCGGTGCGAGCGCCACTGGAAGGTTTGCAAGGAGGCCCATGAGGAACGAGCCGAGCGCTGCGATGGCGGCGGTAGCAGTGACAAAGTCGCGGTTGATTTCGAGGAGGCAGAGAGAGTAGGCTTCATCGTTGATACATGTTGGGTCGACAGGGTCGTTGCAGACACATGTCGCACCGGAGTCTGTGAGGACGGAGGCCTACATGTGGTGGTTTCGTTAGCACACGTACCACTTTAACAGCATGGTTGACTTACGTTCACAGCGATAATGTATGCCATGGTGAAAAACGTCGTCAGTCCAGCGCGCAGCTCTGTCGTAAACCTCGCATTCTTGATCTCATTGGGCTTCAATGGTCAGTATTGCGTGCTATGTTGGAAATGCAAGAACGACTTACATGCCCTGATCCGTCAAGATGAAAATATCTGCCCACAAATGAAGCGGAAACCACATCATTGAGAGCAGCTTTGTTTCGTTCAATGAAACCCATTTTGAGAGGCCAAAAGCAAACCAACGGGTGTGATAGAATGGTGTAGCACTACGAGACCATCGACACCCCAGGTAACGACGGAGATCAATCCCCAGATATACCTGCCGTGCTCAAAGAGGAAGATACGGAGACTACACCTAGTGCAGGGGATGGAGCGTAGCAGGCTCGCTCGCGTCATGCAGGTGCCCGCAACGATCCCGTAATGAGTTCGCGGTAAGCCACATAAGGCATCCTCCGTGATCGGAGATGGATTCTCGTTAAGCGAATGTGGAAGACACTATATGCCTAAAAATCTGCCGTTCCGTTATGGCAGGTCGAACGGCTAGGTGTGTTGCTGTTTCATCTTCTCATCCAAGCCGTCCCTCGGTGGGATACAACCGCGCATACGCCACTGAAGAACCGTCCGCCTTGGCTATGTCACCTCCACTAAAATGTGGTCGTCGGATTCCGGGTTGTGGGCCGCACCGAGTAATCCACTGGCATTAGCACAGTGTCTAGATAACTTCAACTGAGCCAGGAAGCGAAAACGAGTCAAGCAATCGATACCTAGATACGTAGTAGTGACGTCGGGTGCCATGTACGTGTATGCTTTGCACCACCTCCTTCAACATCTCAGCGGTATTAATTCCATAGCTGCCGAGGCTGACTGTGTGCGGTACATGTCGCAAATAAGTCTAGCCGTTACGAAGTTGCGGTCTTGAAGTCTAAAGGGTCGAAGACCGATGGCGCATCGGCAGAGGAATCTGACTTGGTTACTGGACATCAGGAACGAAAGGTACCTGACTGTCGGGTCTTCCAAGAAGTTCTAACGAGTCGCAGAATTCCCAACGATGGCTTTGACGTGCTCGATCCAATGGCTGCTGTGCCGCTTCCCGGGGCTTTCATGAAGGGGGAAGGTAAGCGGTCATCTAGCAGACGCTAAAAGTGGCTGGTGGCGCACATGTGATAAAACCGTCTTCATGTGCCTCCAGAGTACGCGTCGGTGCTGCATAGGCGGTAAGGAGTGACATGCTTGCGCGAGTGTGTTGTTGCGATTTGCAGGAGGAGGGAAGATCTTGGTACTATCATCGTCCAGTACCCCTCTGGTTTGGGTTGTCAGTTCCGAAAGTGTGGGTTGGGAAAGGTCACTTGCGCTGATCATCATCTGCCCTGTTATCGATGGGGACCTCCGCACTAGTTTCGGCGCTATTCTCGGTGGGAACCGGGCGTCCTGGTGTCGCTGGCCTGTAAGGCCACCAACCACCACTGACTTGGAACACCCAACACCAAACTGCAATCATCACGCTAAAAACGCTAGCCGGCTCAGTTGGCGAGATTGAGACTATTTCCCGCGAACGGGCTGGCCTAACAGGTGGTACGTGTTGTGACATGCCGAAACGATGAACTATTATCGAGCGAAGATCCCCGCCTGGAAGGCGATGAGGGCACCGTATCGAGATAGTCGACATGTTTCCAACATTTGATGTTCCTCCTCAACATGCCGAGACAGTAGGAGCTCGCAAAGCAAGAAGAGCAAAGGAAGATGATACGACCAGACGGTCTTTCTCGGCAACCTCGCAGTCATCCGGGAGCACGCACAGCAGCAAACGTCAAGATGCAACGAGCTCGTCAGACTCAAGATCAGGAGGAAAGAGTGGTCTCGGCGGTTGGTTCAGCAAGAATAATAAAAAGGGCATCCAGGAGATCGCTCCGCTGTCGACATGTAAGGAGACACAACGTCCAAAAGAGCTGGCGATGAAGCCAGAGTCTGAACTCGTACTTGACCAAGGACCGGCACCACCCACTGCTCCTCTAGATACACAACATCAAGTATCCCAGAGGCCGCTGTCCCAGCGTTCTGATCAAACATCCCGAAAACTCCAGCCGCCATGCTTTCCACCCCCGCTGCCATCTCCTCCTCCGTCTGGTGCACTGCCTCCTACGCCAGGGATGCTTAGCCCTGTCAGTATACCAGGTACGTACAAATCGTCTTCTTGATACCTTAGCATGGGGTTTCGACTACCATGACTGCGTATGTAGTCTCCTGGAGTATACATGTACGAGCCGTGATCTCACGCGGATAGCATGCTTACACACGCTGCAGATAGGAAGTCACAGTACTCCACTACTTCTCGCGCTTCATCCAACCCATCTAGCGTCACACACTCAAACCACAGTGTCTTTTCGGGCGCTTCGGGGTACGAGACTGCTCTCTCGGACGATGCTTTCGATGACCCTCGCCCTTCTAAACCTTCATTCAAGCCTCAACCGGTTTCACGACCACCTTATTTCGAACCAGTCGAGCGCGGTTCACGAACTGGCAGTACACATAGCAGTGAACGTGTCCAAAGTGTCAAAGTCGCTCAAACGCCGTTCACACGGGCGCTGACGAAGATGGAGAATGCTGGTACTCGCATCATGTCTGCTCGGTTAAGCGAAGAGTGGGACGGCTTGGACGATGACGAGAGCTTCCAAGAGATTATGTTCGAACAACGGCTATGGGCACTAACTGCCTATCAACGATTGACGCAGAACAAACCCCTGCAGTCACCTGCGCATGAGTTACTGAGTAATAGTCAACCAGCAGATCAGAGGAGGGTACTCCAAATACATGGTTCTCTAGGTATGTCTGTCCTGCAGCTTTGCCCCGCTCGAAACACGCATTGATGCTGACTGCCGCAGCGGATGGATGGATGCTAGCACACCATTACCCTGCAGTGACAGTATATACGCTCTCTACCACCAAGACTCAGCCAGCTACCACGTACCCTGCGCCTCTCAACCATCATACACTATACATTCCTTCACTTGCATCCCCAACGCCGTTTCCCGATAACTACTTCGACGCCGTTATCTCGCGTTCCGTCGCGACAGTTCTTCGAAACGACGATTGGGCTCGGTCATTCTTCGACTGCATGCGTGTGCTCAAGCCCGGTGGACAAATCGAAATACTCTCAGTGGATGCGCACATGAGCTGCGAAGGGCCCAAGCTATCATCATGGGTTGACGAGCATCTTTCCTGTCGGCTGGAAGCTCACGGCGTGAGCAAGCAGGCTTCAGACACTGTCCTCGACACAATGGAGATTGTAGGCTTCGATAACATTCGTCGCGCTCGCATCGCGCTTCCAGCGCATCCACCCAAGGTGGCAGCTAAAGTGGCGCCATCTGCATCACATACTTTTGGTGCTGCGATCCCGGCTCCCACACCTCAAGATACTCTAGATACGACGAAGATGATGGCTTTCCTCGGCCGCCATTTCTATCAGGATCTTTACAGCAGGTTCATAGACGTCAGACAGGGAGATGAGTGGTTCTGGTCGGATAAGGAGATTCGGGCGGAATGTGATCTCTACAAGACAAAGACGGTACTGACAATTGCTTGTGGGCAAAAGTCTACAAATATGTGCCATACCGGGAGTTATCTAGATGACTAGATCGTGTCCAACCCGTTCTTTGATCAAGTATAGGGAGATCGCGTTGGGCTGTATCCTAGATGCTGTTGTCGCTTCCTTTCGTTTTCATAAGTGGAGGAAGTTAGTGCGGCTGAGAATGTCGCAAACTGGGCCAGCGCTAGACGGTTCTGCCCATCACTCGTTTCACACTCATGACCTCAACAAGGCTTAGATATACGAATATACGAAGTGAATATGACATGTGCGCAGAATTGAGGCAAGCCAGCTAGAACAAGAATGGTCGCGCTTGCACTTGCGGAAGGTGCCACCTGGGCAGGTTCTCATTCCTTCCCGTGCCTGCTCTCACATGACCCACTTATCCAGGCACAAACACACTCACCTCCATGGGTACTGCTTACTTTAACCACACTCTCTCCGACTACTGCAGCGCCGACTGTTGATTCAATTCGACTAATTGATAATCGCTCTCATCAACCATCTCCAGCCCGCGATAGACACGCATTCTTACCCTGCAATGGCTACTTCCCAAATCGGTCATGGCCAGATTGGCAAGATCATTGAAGGTATACAGAATGCATTCAGAATCTGAGAGTGAGATTGATACTGACATCGTGTAGACATGGAAGAACTCCTACCTTCGGAAACCATCGATAGGGCTGACTATCGACGCTGTCGCACAACCTATGGCCTTTTATCCACGGCATACAAGCGCGCGAACCATTCCGACGAACCGGAGAAAGATTACAAAGAGTTGCAGAAACTCGAGAAGACTTTGCGTGACCGTCTTTCCAACCTTGACCCTGCCAGAGGCCTTCCGCGCAAATTCCAGGGTCCACTCGACAATCTCAAAGCGGGCATCGACGGTGCTCTCGAGATGGGCGTAACGGTCGAATTCCTCATTGAAGGTCTCAAGGATATCTTGAACGAGAAACCAGATGCTACACCTGCGCCAAAGGTAGAACCGACTAGGCTGGTGCCTGAAAAGCGCCTTCAAAGGTATCTAGAGGAGCTTCGCGTCGAGAAGGACAAGAATCGCAAACTCAACGAAGAGAACAATCGCCTCATACTGGAGCTCAAGCAATACAAGATGCGAGAGGATGCGAGCTCCAGTTGGCCGCCTCTTAGTGAGCCGCCTCTCAAAAAACGTCGCGTTGACTAGAATACTGATGATTCAGCCCAGGGTAATACACACGGCGGGCAGGCTTCTACTTAGGTTTCGAATGAGTTAAAAGTTATGTACGTCCAGTCTTGAGTATACCGTCATGCTGCGGCACGTTGACAGGAGTGCAGGTCGGATTAGATGTTTGCTGGTGGAGAGGGCAGGAAAATGGGAAGGAGTTGTGTCATGCGCAGTGTGGGACAGCATTCTGTCATAGTCCTGTTGCTTATGCAGGCAGGTGGTCTGTATGACGACTGTATCATGAGACTTGGCTTGCAACGGCTTGGTTTCTAAATGCTTAAATAATTCCATCGCATGGCGACGTTCGTGATGGTAATACTGTGATGTTCCTTTTGCTGCAGCTGTCGCGGGCAGCGGATGACGTATGACGCAGCCTTAGAGTGGGGCTTCGCGAAGAGGTTTAGCGCTTACCGCTCGACGCGACGCGTCTTGTCTGAACCCTGTTGGGATGCCAGACACCTGCAGAACGAGACGTCTCCTTTGTGCGAGCCAACATGCCTCGGCCTAAACGAACCGCGTCCGTATCGCAATTCTCGCCTCCGAGCAAGCGCGTAGCCAATGACGCTGCGCGACATGAGTCTTCACACCCGCTAGGGTCACGACACGCCCCAGTGGAGCTAGACTCGAGCCCGGAAGCGGAAGCCAGCACGCACACAGAGCCAGCAAGACCTATCAACCCACCCGCCCAAGCTGAGCCTCCTCTAAGCAAAGAGCAACAACGAGTTGTTGATCTTATCGTAGACGGCCATAATGTATTTTACACAGGATCCGCCGGCTGCGGCAAGTCAACCATTTTGCGGGCCTTTGTCAAGGAGCTGAAGTCGCTCGGCAAGGTCGTCCGTATCTGTGCGCCGACAAACCTCGCCGCTTTGAACGTCGGTGGCTTCACGCTTTGGTACGAGGTAAAGCCCCACATCTCTGGACATCTGATTGACGTCTAGTTAGGTCTTACGCTGGCTGGATAGTGCCTGATGTAAACAAAGATTTGGACACATTGAGAAGAGATGCTCACAGGAAGCAAGTCTGGAACAGGATGAACAAGACGGATGTCCTCGTCATTGACGAGATCAGCATGGTCGAGAACAACTTCTTCACTCGGCTGAACGAAGTGATGAAGGCGGCATGAGGTTCGAGCCAACCTTTCGGTGGCGTTCAACTTGTGGTTACAGGAGACGTAAGTGTAGTAGCGACTTTGGGATATGCAAAGACTAACGCGATACTAGTTCTGCCAACTCGCCCCAGTGAAGCCTTTCCAGAACTGTTTCAACTGTGGAAAACCTTTGAGGGAGGACGATTATGATGACCAGTATCACTGTGATAATCGGAGTTGGCCGGAAAACGTCTTCCACGACGTTGACAAATGGGCATTTCGTAGTAGTGCATGGCAGGTAAATCTAAGCCTTTTTCCCATCAGACAGGGACTACATATTGACTATCACAGGAGTGCAGATTCGTAAATGTCAATTTGACCAAGATCTTTCGACAAAGCGATCGCAAGTTCGTCGAAATTCTGCAGTCAATCAGAAGAAGTAAACAAGCTTCAGAGCCATGATACAACTCTTGTGCTGACAAGTTACAGATGTAGACATCCCTGAGGATGATGCGTACACGCTTCTGAACCATGAGTGTTCAACAGAAGGGGCAGTGGAGATATACCCACATAGAGCAGACGTCCTTCGCATCAACAACAAGTGCATCAATGCGCTCCCATCTCAACCTTGGCGGTTCGCTTGCAAAGACTACTTCAACTGAAACCAGACCACCGTAAGGCGAACCCAGAGTTCAAGAAATACAACTTCAGAAACAAGGATGGTACGCTGAAAGAGCTGGTGAGTCGCCACTTGTCGCATACATAGACATCGTACTGATCTTTCCTCCGCAGGATCAACACAGGTATGAATCAGTCTTGCAGTTCAAAAAAGACATGCGAGTTGTATTGCAGCACAATCTGGATCCTGAAGCTGGTCTGGTCAACGGGTCACAGAGGGTCATCGTAGAATTTGAGGAATATGACGAGAGAAAGCTACCCCGGGCCCGTAAGGAAAGTGAAGAACGTGGAAGCGATGGGTCAATTCTCGCTGGATCACACGCCGCGTACGAGCACCATGAGATCCGGAGATATGCCGAAGAAAACAATTACCAGCCTTGGCCGGTAGTCAAATTCGATGACGGTCAGACAAGGACAATTTTCCCAAATTGTTCGAGCCTCGAGCTGGGCGACACTACGCCCTATAGCCTCTTGTCCAGGACTCAGATCCCACTCATGGCAGGCTATGCTATTACCGTCCACAAGGCTCAGGGCATGACAATAGACAAGGTCAAGGTCAACCTGCAGAAGGCTTTTGATCCAAGCCAAGTATACGTTGCTTGTACGTCAAACCATATCTACCCCAGTGATACCAAGCTAACAGCGAACACAGTGAGTCGAGCGAGATCATTGCACGGTCTGGAAGTTACGACTCTTCCGAAGAAGCATTTTGGTGGTCAAGCGCCAGAGGTGAAGGAATTCATGGATTCCTTCTCCTGATGTGACCTATTTGATTGGGGGTCGGATATTTCGCGCAATTCTCGAAGCGTATGCGGTACTCACACTCTGCGAAGTAGCGACTAGCAACAGAATTCGCATCTTTGATACTGTTTTACCCATCGCTAGCAAACAACAAGTCTCGTAACTCTTGCCTTGTCTCCAAACTTCCAAGCTCGCATGTGATATACGTCTGCTGTGTGTGTCTGTGCAAGACCGATTGTACAACGCGATCATCTCATACAAGGCAAAGCTGAACAGTTCTGCAGACTACACTTGGATGAGACGAGCAAAACAGAACAACTTGTAGTAATGTACGCTCCATGGTGTTTAACCTTTCCTTCGTTGAGGTGCAGTCACAACAGAAAAAGAAAGAAACTTGGCTACTCTGAGCAGCGGAGCCGAGGCGATGATCTTGGAGCTAAGAAGGTTGGCAGCGCAAGACCATCTCAAGATAAGAAAGCTTCATCGGTGTGGCGCGCATGATGAGAAAGCAGCCAAGGGGCAATACTTCGTCGTCCAGTTACAGATGGGAAAAAGCCGGAGCATTATTGATTAGGCTACTGTATGAGTCGTTGGTAATCACAAAATATCTCAGAGTAGCCATGGCTGTCACGGTAAAACAACGTTGAAAGAAGGGGTATATTAACATTTAAGATCACCTATATGAAAGGCGAACATGATGTATCAGTCGATAATGGAAAAATTCATCGACTGATAATCAACTCAAGGACACTTGAACGGTCCATAGACCGTACACTAAACTCATGCAAAGACAAGCTTAAAAGATGCGGTTCATGAAACGCTTCCATGCGGGCCAGGTGGCAATCTCGGCACGCTCCGCGTTGATGAGGTCCCAGTCGAGCTCACGACGACCAGTGTCAACGTCCATCTGGGCAGTTCGGAGCCATCCCTCACGCTTCCAGAAGTATCCGGCAACCCAGAAAGCAGCAACGACGAAGATGGCGAGGTATGCCTGGAAGAAGTCGGTGGCAGTACCAAGCCTCTTTCCAATAGGGGAAACGGCAGTGTAGAACTGATGTTCATGTTAGCAAAATGCACTACAAAGGGGATCAGATGAAGTCTTACCTGTGCCATCAAGACGATGACGATAATGAAAATACCGATCCACGAGCCAATGACACCACCAGCGGCCTTGAACGGAATCTCATCCAGGGTGTGTCCGTGGTAAGCCCAAGCCTTGCGGAAGCGAATATGGGCGAGGCAGATGGAGCCCCAGGTGAAGAGAGCGGCAAGTCCAGAGAGAGAGACGAACCAGTTGAAGATAACCTCACCGGTTGAGGCCAAGTTCATGTAGGCGAGGGGACCCCACATAAGAATGAAGGCAACGGACCAGAGAGGACGTCCGGCACGGTCGACGTAGGTGAAGAGCTTGGGAGCGTAACCCTGGTCAGCGAGGGCAGTGAGGGTACGCGAACCACCGTAGACACCAGAGACACCGATGGAGACAACGGAGACCATAATGACAACGTTCATGAAGCTGTCAAATCCAACCAGACCAGCGTTCTTGCCAGCAATGACGAAGGGCGAGGCGTTGGCGTCACCAGAGGAGTTACCGATGAGACGCGTGTCAGTGTGCTCGACAAGCAGACCAACGAAGGTAAGACCAAGGATGTAGAACAGGGTGATTCGCCAGAAGACCTGACGGATAGCACCGGGAAGGGACTTCAGAGGGTTCTTAGTCTCCGCGGCAGCGAGACCAACAAGTTCGGTTCCGGAGAAGGAGAAAGCTGCGGTAACGAAGACGGTGCAGAATCCCTTGAAGCCGTTGGCGAAGGCACCGGGGCTGTACCAGGTACGCGCTCCCCAGTATTCAGAGTACATGCCGTTGCTGGGTCCTCCACCGAGAACCAAGACCAAGGCGATGATCATGAAAACGACGGTTGCACCAAGCTTGATACACGACGACCAGAATTCTTCTTCGGCGTATCCCAGGGTACCCCAAATGTTGATGAAACAAATGAATAGCCAGAAAGCCGTGATGAAGACAGCGACGTTGACTCCCTTGGCCCCGTCCCAATATTGAACTGTGAAACCGGCGACGAGAAGTTCAAGTGGTAAGACGATGGCCCATTGGAAGACGTAGTTCCAACCCATGGCGAAACCCCAGGATGGATCAATGAAGCGAGAGGAGTAAGTATAGAAACCACCGGAAACGGGGTACATAACAGCGAGTTCACCGAGAGCGTAGACTGCAAGTCGTGTCAGTTTTGCTTGTGTGCGCAAAACAAGTGTCATCTCTACATACCGACGTTGAAGATCATTATACCCATGATTGAGAAATCAATGAGGAGCGTGGCAGGGCCCTGAGTGGTTGTAAGTTCATATTCAGAAGTGACCGTGTACTGTGCAACTTACACCCCTGGAAAGAGCACCACCGGAACCGACGAAGAAACCAGCACCGATGGAACCACCGATGGCAATCATGTGAAGATGGCGAGTCTTCATGGACTTGTCGAGTACGACCATAGGGCCCTCTTGGGGACGACGCTGGAAGGACTTCATGTTCAGACCGTTGCGGGTCATGAAGTCCTCCTGCTCGCGCCAGTCGGCGGAGTCCTCACCATGACTTTCGACAGTCGGGTGAGGGACGGTAGTCTTCTCATTAGGCGGAGTCCCCTTTTCGTAGTCCATGATGGGCGGTTGGACAGGTCAGTGCTGGGGGTAGAAAAGACTGATGAAGTCGAGAGAGACCCTGGGACCGGCTGCTCTTTAATGTCAGATATGGATCAGCGGAGGGGGAGGCAATTGACATTTATCCAGTCCAGGTTCGAGATGGCTCGCGGAAAGAGCGACAGGGACCCCCGTTCGTTGATGCACGAGGCGCACGAGCCGACAGCTTGGCACCCCTCCATTACAGTGAAGGGCCAGGCTGACGAAAGATAGACTGGCGCCGTGTTTGGTTGGCTGGTCGTGTGCACCCAGAACAAGCGTTCGCCGCAAGCGGGTAGAGCTAACAAGGACGGTGAATTGGCGCCCCGCCGCGGCTCTTGGGATTAGCTTGGGACCTCCCCGCAACAGCAAATCGGCCGGTGGCGCATAGGGCTTGGTGTGAGCTTCGAGGGGGCCCTTGGTGCCCTTTGGTCAGACCCGGTCGCTGGGCGGAGATTGGTCCCAAACAAGACTGATAACGAATGCGCGACCTGCGAGTAAACGCGAGGGACAGATTTAGCAAAGTTCTAGCAGGCTTTCTAGAACGCTGATTGCAGTGCTGGGCTCCCTTGGCTACCGCGGTTGTCTTCGGATCCAACGCCGCTTTCCTTGCCAGCTGCCCCAATTGGCGAATCGAGGTTGGTGCATACCGGCCGTCTTATCTGCAGCCGGATGGTTGCGCTTACTTGGTGTAGTCTGGAGAAGCCTCTCACGTGCCCCACCTCCATATGCACCTGCCTGGGCCGGTCTAGCGCACTCGCTTCCGTCATCTCCGCCTCGGTTAGCCCGAGACGCGATGCCTCTCCAACATTACTGTTTGTCAACCACTCCATCGGTGGCGCTCCGGGGCGCTTCAGTCTTGCCATCGCGAAGTCCGCGAATAGGCAAAGCCAAGCGCTCGTGATTGCGGCGTGTGTTGTGTTATCGGGCGTAATGGGCACCGCAGTATTGTGTTACATTGCCCATCTAACCTCGCATCCTAGCACGACAATCCCTCGCTCGTTTCAGTTTCCTCGATAATTAGGCCCGTCTTCGCTCCATCACCCGCTTCAAGAAGACCGTTATCACTGCGTGGGGGAACCACACAACCAAATCCTCTCCATAAGAGGTGCGACGTCGCGTGTTTGACACCTCATGGCCAACGTTCCTATCCAACGGCACCGGCTCCAAGATCCACCGTGCTGATGCCCGAAAAACCACAGTTATTTGCCCCAGGAATCACAGCCAATCACGGAGTCAGGCTCAGCTACTTCCCCAATCGTCTTAGTGCAGTATGCCAATGCTGCTTGGAATTTCTTGAACGTCTTGGAAGCGTTGCGTATCGGACCAGTCGACAAGTCAAACACAGCACCTTGATCCAGCAGCCTGGCCACTGTATACAGGCCCGCAGAAAATCAGGGTCTACAGAATCCTTTATCGCGATATTGTCAAATTCGAATTGCAAACGCTCCCTCGTCTGCTCTTAGCGCGACTCCACTGATAACCACCTGTCTGAGCGTCGTATGTTGGGGTGCTTCGATCCGCGCCTGGGACCACCCTAGGATCCACTGTCATCCACCGGCATCCACTTGGTCTCGGAACCAGATAACCTCACTCCTACCACGGTCACGGAGCCTGACGTCGCTCCCCTGGCATTCGCCTGCCATGGCGAATGTCACAATAGTATCATCCAGCGTTCCAGCGGAGCCAATAGCCAGTCTGGCGCGGTCTGACCACAGTGTGCCTTACGCTAAAGTCTGACCGACCTTTTCGCCGCATAAGCGGCCGTGACACTCAGCACGACAGCCCACTTGCACCGAGCTGGTGGTTTCTCAGCAGTATCGCCGAGAATTACGCCTCCACCCGCATTACACGCCTTTATCACGGTGGACCCTGAGGTTTGCGCATAAGGTGTTGTGTCGCAAATAATATGTCCAGCATTGCTCAACAATCGCACTATCTCTACTCTAAAGATGTTTGCTCATACGCACAACTCGGTATCAACGGCATCTCGAGCCCGCTTCGCGCCACAAATCTACTCACTGGGATTACTAGGTTACACGTCATTGATGCTCTATGGGTTATCGCAACGACTTACTCACAAGGTCCTCTACAAGCTGATTTGCCTATCGGAAAGGATGACATCTGGAGATTCTGCGTCGAGCGACCTCCGAGACACCCGTGGTTCGCAACACGTTCTTCGCTAGCTCTTCAGCGTCCCGTTGCCACTATCTACCATTGAACTCCACATCCGCGCCAATGATTCACTCAAGCCTGTATCATTCGATCCGTGGATACTTTCTAGTCAGCTTGATTCCTGTATCGAACTGACATCTCAAAAACTGTCGTTTTAGTACGAAACACGGCATATGGGTGTTCTTCAAACTCACGGCAGGCGACTCTGGAGGCACGTTTTGAATCATGCAATAACCTCAGGTAACAACTAAACTCCAAACACAAGGCTCTGAGGCCTGGATATTCTCATGCGATCCACACCCAGTACAGTTCTACTCTTTCCTCCGACTTCCCGGTCATTTCTGCCACCAGTCAATCGTCTCCATATTCCCTTTATCGTCCATTTGGTCTTCGCTCCCTTCTTCTCGCTCCCCGAATGACCACCCATCTCCTTTTGTCTTTTCAAAAATAGCGACTGGTAGAATTCCGACTTCATCATCTCTTGCATCCTCACCATACTAGCGACGCTCCCTCTCCTCTCTGTGATGTCCTTCACAACATCATATACGGAAACCCTTCTCTTCCCCATCGTACAAGGAGGCGGTGATCGTGGGAGCAAGAAGCGGGGGGATATATCTGGAGAGGCTGAAAGAAGAAACGTCGCTTTGGTTGGCGAAGGGGTGGGTGTACGGAGAAATGTGACTGCCATTGGCGACATTGGACTGTCAAAGATTGATAGAGGGGAGGCCGGAAGGAAAGGTGCTGCCTTTGGGAAAAGGTGTTGCTGCTCTATTGGGGACTTGGGCGGAGCGAGGAATGGGTTCACTGGTGAGCCGAGACTTCTGAGCGGTCAGACGCCAAAGGTGACGGCGTGTCCGGATCCCAGTAGGATAAGGGAGGCACGGGAGGGATTTCATGGTTGGCGTTGACCAATGCAGACATTGATGGATATGTTGCGCGTCGTGGTGTAGGGGGATGGATGGCGCGCCATGGAGCTGGACATTTCGTGGAGATGTTCAGGGAGATTGGGCGGGGACGAGTTTGCTGCATAGCGAGCAGTCGGTCTCAGGCAGAGGGCAACAGTAGGGCGTGGAGATATTGAACCCCGACTAGGCAGATCATTCATTTGACGGGCTGACTTGCTACAATAACGAGACTTGATATACTTCATACATGTCACACCAAATCGCGGCATTGGCCTCTGTTCAGAGACATATGGATTCTCCGTGGTCACAGACTGAGACTCAAGCTGAGCTCCTACAATGACAACCTGCATGTCTTTCCGATTTACGTTGTCCCAATGATTCAGACTCCGGGCCAAGTTCACACCAAAGCTTTTGCGCGGTTGACAAGCCGCAAGCATGGCACCAAAAGCAGCTAGATCGTCCCCAGTCGCCGAGGCATAGTGTACAGGGATATCATAGCGTTCCAAGGTTGTGGTGGTCTCGCTGAACGATCGACCTACCCGTGTCCAGACCCGTGACTATCGAGCCACACCGGTGGGGGACAACTGCAGGTACGGGTACTGAACCATGATTCCCAGAAAGGAAGGAAAAGCCTAAGGAATGGAGTACGTATCCATTGGACCGGTACCGCTGTGCGTCTGTATTGTTTGCGTGGCACGGAGACAAGGGTGAGTATTGAACGTGCGTGTAGCAGGCACAACTCATGGGGTTGCCCTTAACAAGGCCTGACAAACAAAGTGTTGATCAGGTGGATCTGAGCTTGTGAAGAGGCACACTGGACATATGCCCTCGCCTCTCATTGCCAGATTCTGCACAGCTCTTGCGGAGGGGCATACCACTCGTAGCTTGCCCTTGACAGCTGGAGACGTAACAAAAACCGAGCAGACGTGCTAATCTGAATCATGAAGCTCATCATGTGTCGTGAGACGTCAGGAGACTAGACAACGTAGAAGTTTCGAAAGAGACGGTCGTGACCCATAGTGTGGAGAAGATGGCCGACCGGATGAGTCAGCAGCCTCCGAGCAAGATGAAGAAATGACGTCTCGCCAACGTTGAGCGCATTCGCAAAATCCTCCGTATCAAGAGCTGCAACAATTCTTGGGTTGCTGTAGAACACAAAGCGCAGGGCAAACTCAATCCGGCGACGACAGTGCAGGACGCTTCTCCGCAATCGCCAAGGCCCGCAATCTGCAGCTACTGACATCTATCGAAGCGGAAAGTTGGCGGTACGATTGCGACCTCACGACGCCGCCCCACGGTTGTCCACGACACGTCCACGATGCTCACACGAAGTGCACTGTGCCCCGCGAGGGCCTTTGCCAGCCGCTTCCCACCCGCGATCCTGGCGCCGTCATCCACCGCCGCCGTGACTTCCTTCTCCACATGCACACGACCAAGCAAGCTCCCACAACAACAGCGCACCAGCCCGAGCACCGCCTCTCGCACCACATTTCCCAGCAGACTGATAGTACGCCATGCATCGACTGCGCCCGCACAGCCCGTGGCCAACAACTCGCCCGGCGCACAACCCCAACTCACATGGAACGCCTTCTTCGCCCTACGCCGCACGCGCCGGAGAATCGGCCAGGCCTGCTCGGGAGTCGGCGCCGTGGGCGTGACGTACTTTGGTCTCACCACCATGATCAACAATGGCTATGACGCGACCCTCTCCGCCCAACTGGGCGGCTTCGATCCCTTCATGCTCATGGGACTGAGCACCTTGGGCATGATGGCTGTGGGATGGCTCATTGGGCCTATTTTCGGCAACCAGGTCTTCAACCTGGCTTACAGGGGTGTGCTGGGCGAATTCACGCGGGTAAGTTACGTCTGGGGAGTGATGAGATGGCGAATACTGACGGTAGTGTGTGTAGAAAGATTCAGCCTTCTTCAACCGCATCAAGCGTCACCGCGTCGACCCTACTGCCTCTTCGCTCGCGAACCCCCCACCGGACTACTACGGCGAGAAGATTGGTAGCGTGGCTGGATACAGGCGGTGGTTGAAGGACCAGCGTGCCTTCAACCTCAAGACGGGCAGGTACCGGGCGACCAAGGCTTTGTAGAGTGTTCCGAACGGCCGCGGGCTGCAGATTGTACAGCTCGAGTATCAAATTACCAACGTCGAGCCACATACGCATCCGGTGCAAGAATACCCGGAGTACAGGAAAGAGCAGGCGGGAATGGAGCATGGTTTTGGGGTTATGTGCGTGGCAGCCGTCAGGAGTATACGAGCGAGCAGTTAGTAGGTGGCATGCTCTTCTATTTCTTACCATGTATCAAAATATCCGAGCGACGATTCCATCATCGCACCCTCGCATCTCAGCCCACTATGTGTTTTCATACGTTCCACGAGAGAAACGAACTCCAGACATGCATGTATGTATATGTACATTCCACCTACCAGATGAATCGCATCTCCATCTTAGGAACCCACAAAAGAGGGCATCAGGAAGGCCGCAGTCCCGTTCTTCCTCCCCTACTCTACAGCCTCGCCCTCCTCCCCACCCCCTCCAGCACACCCACAACCCCCTCTCTAACCTCCCTCACAACCTCCCCAGCCCCCTTCACCTCCCTAACCAACCCAACCCCACTCCCCGCATACGCCGTCATCCTGCCCCCACTCTCCCTCCACCCCTCATCCCCCTTCCGCATCTCCTCCCGATACAACCGCGTATTCTCCTCCTGACTCATCCCCTTCTCCACAGCATCCACATAGCTCTGCGTGATAATACCGCGCGCATTATGCGTCTCCGCCCAGTTCGTGCCGCGCAGGGAATCGTAGACTTTAGTGCGCACGGTGCTTTGTCCGCCGTCGGTGGTGCGCAGGATAGCAGAGCGGTACCCAGTGCTGATGGCTGCTTCGGGGGTGGCGAGTAGACGCGTCCCCAAGACGCAGCCTGAGGCGCCGAGAGTGAGGGATGCGGTGAAGGTGCGGGATTCGGATATGCCACCTGCGGCTAGGAGGATGGGTTTGGCACTTTGGGTTCGGTGATGGAGGGTGTCGATGGCGTCACCGACTTCAGGGAGGAGGGTGACGATACTTGCGCCTTGAACGAGACCATGACCTCCCGCGTCTGTGCCTTGGACGACGAGGACATCTGGGCCGATTTGTTCGACCACTTCCACAGCATCTTTTACACTGCCTACCTGAACCCAGATCTTCGTCGAGGGAGAAGCGGTTCTACTTGCTTCTGCCCATTGCACGAGGGATGCTGTTGATGAAGGCGCGAAGAACCATACTGCTGCTGGATGGTGTTGCGCGATGATGGGTATGGCCGTTTCGAGATCTGCGCCCCAGTTTATGAAGCCGATGCCGATGGGAAGTGTTCTGTTTTTCGTTGGTAGTGCGGTAGGTGTGTCGTTCAGGAGTGTTTTTGCGTGCTGCATGTGGGATTCTAAATCTGATACGTCTGTTCCTGCGCCTATGAAGCCGATTCCTCCTGTGTGGGTTGGTTAGGATGATGTTGGAGTATCAATGCGTATTGTGAAGCATGAGATGAGATGGAGGGGCTTGACCAAGTAGTTATCCACTACAGAAACCTAAAGGAGAATTGATGTGATGGTCTCTTCTTCAACTTACCGGCTTTCGATACTTCAACAGCCATGTCCGCTAGAGCGATCAAGCGCATCGGCGCGCCTACCACCAGCGGCGTTTGAATCCATGGGTAATCCACTTTCAATCTTTGCATGTCATCCATCATCAAATCTTCCCTTCTAATGGCAATCTTTACTCGTCTTGAATAGTCTTTAGTCTGGTTGTCGGACAGCTTTGTGGAAACCAAGTGTGAGTAAGTAGTTCTGGTAAATGCTGGGTTTCCAACTCTTTTCTACCACTCCGGTACACCGCAAAATGAATCTCTTTCAAATCCGAGGTATGTGAAAAGGTGCAACGTGATGACCCCAGTCGGATGCGTGACTAGGAAAGATGACGCGCTCCACGTTTAGAGGTTCCGGTAGACCTACCGAAAGGCTATGACATGTCCTCGGCTATGCACTATGGACCTAGTCGGCCTTATCCGGCATGGAACCTCTACAACACGACTAAACTCGTATCAAGGCATGTTACTGTTATGTTCGATTCTCATTACATCTTTTCCTCCTAGATACCCAAAAGTATTAACTAATATACTAATCCCAAAGTCTATGTTGGCATGGAACGGAACCCAGAACCTCATGCGCGCTCATGCTTGTAGAAAGCAGGATAACCGCCTGTATCTACATGCACCCATCATTAAAAACGCAAAGCTTCATAGAGCAATGAAGGGTTGTAAAGTCCTCTACAACTCCTTCTCTCTCTTCTCCCACTCTACAACACCGGGAGCCAACGGCCTGGAGAACAAACTCGAGTAGTCGGTGTTGACAATGTCCTTGCTGCCGCCCACATTCCTGAGCTTGAACTCGCGCACGAATGCTACGAGAATGGTCTGCAGTTGGAGGTAAGCAAATTGCTCGCCGATGCATCGGTGCCTTCCAGCGCCAAAGGGTAGGTAGGGAGAGTTTGTTCCCTTGGAAACAACACCCCAGCCGTAGTCAATCTTCTCCTGGTCGGCGTCGTCACGCTCCTCGTCGTATTGCTGGTGCTCGGCGTCCCAGCGATGCGGGTCCCAGACGGAGGGGTTGACAAAGTGGGTGTCGAGCTGAGCGGAGAAACCAGGCGAGGACATAAGCGTGTGGGAGGTGGGTACAACGTAGTTTGTTCCATCGACGACAAGAGGTTGCTTGACCTTGCGCATGATAGAGTGGATCGGGGCGTGGATACGGAGGGTCTCCTTGACGACCTGAGTGTGGAGGGGTAGCTTCTGGAGGTCTTCGTAGGTTAGCGGTGGGAGGTCCTCACCAAGAGCCGACTTCTGCTCAGCAAGGAGCTCCTCGACCAGGTGGGGATTTTGTGCCAATCGGAGTATGATCCAGGAGATGGTTGATGAGGACGAATGTTGACCAGCCATCAGCAGCGCAATCATAATTCCGGCAATCTCGTGCTCGGGTACCGGTGTGCCGTCCTTGTACTTGCAGTCCATAAGATGCCAGATCATGTCGGGAGAGTCCTTCTTGACCTCACCCGATCTCCTCTTGCGAACGACCTCAGAGTATAGTTTGATCATCGTCTCACGCGCGTTGTCGCGTGCGCGGTTGTGGGGAAGCGGGGCCCAAGACAGCATGAAGTTGATGGGTGAGAAGCCCATGTCGAGGTCGTGGTATAGCTCAGCGAACTTGGAGTCGAACGAGTTGCGGATTTCCTGGCCCTGGAGCGAACGAGAGGCGGTGTAGATGGTGAGTTCGGCCATGACCTTGGGGACGTCAAAAGTGCCCTTCTGTCCCTTGAAAGCCTTGTGGCGCTTGACGAAGTCTTCGCATTCTTGTGTGATGAGGGTAACGTAGGAGCGGAGGGCGTCTTGGGTGAGACCGAACTTGACGAACTGTCCTCGCGTTAGCCATGGGTCGAGTATGAGACTGGGTGGTGCGCACCTTTTTCTGCTCCATGAGCTTCGAGTTGGGGCAGTCGTACACGACATCCTTGCCAAAGACCGGTGTGCAGAGCGGGGAGTAGATCTCCTCGGCGTTAACGTCCTTGATCTTTCCGTTGAGGATGAAGTTGTTGCCGGTGGTGTCGAGGCACACAGTCATCTTGCGGCCGAGGAGGATAAAGGTGAAGACATTGCCATACTACTTCCAGTCAGTCATGTTCAACCTGCCATTGCATCTCCTACACACCTTCTTCTGGTTGGCGAAGAAGAACGCATACGGGTCCATGCCATATGTGACGGTACTGCCAATCACAGGCAGCCAGTGGAACACGAGGGGCGGCTCATTGGGGTTCTTGAGCAGCAGCTGCTTCAAGACATTGAGAACGACGGCCAGCAGGATAAAGGAGGCGAAGCCGGCGGCGACGAGGACGGGAAGCGACGAGGTGGAGGTGAAGTTGCCCAAGGGGCCGGCGACATTGGCGAGGAGACCCATACTGTGCGACAAGAAGCAACAACAGAAGTCAAGGGCGTGAGGGAAAGGCGCTGTTGACGGGGACGCGCCTCAATAAATTTCCCACGGGTTGAGGCTCGCGCAGGGGCCAGGCTATCCAATCATACTATAGCCGTACAGGGCGGCGTCTGAGTGGATGAGTGGGCTGGCGGGCGGTGGGCGGTGTCGAGAGCTTGGCAGGGACCGGCTTGCGGATCCTAGCGCACCCGTTCAAAGGAGAGAGATGGCACCACTGACAGGCCATCCAGACCAAATACCCTCTCATCGTACATCGTGCCATGTCATTGGCCTGAGGGATACATCACCTTATCCACAACCCGAAGCAGGCAGTATCGAAGTGTGAGTTTTCACCCTTACTACGCTACCTAGGTACCTGCGTATGCTCTATTATTTCACTGCGCAGTACATGTACTTATCCCTAGCCTATTCCGTTACGGCTCTTGTTCCATCAGGTGTATAAACATTACTGCGCTTTGGGTTCGTTGTTGATGATATTTCGGCTTGCCTCCAACACGGCGTCGGCATAGCTGCAGCACATGGACCCGTACTCCCGAGCCGCCGAGTCGCCGCAGCTCTACGTGCAACCTAGTGGCACATGTCTCTCAATGTAAGACCGTGCGTGATGTATATGGTGTACCTACTAAGCAGTCACAGATGTCAAACAACATGGACTTGGCGGAACCCGAAACGAATCGTCGCAATTTATGGACACGCTCATAGAACCGCCTGTCCTCAATATCACTGCGTACAAAAGCGAAGCGAAGAGCCTCGGGGGCCAAGACTCTCCTGAATCATTAGACGTAACTTGGGTGAGGGGGAACAAAACCTTCGATCGCACGTACATGGAGCTCTACGGCAAATGTCAGAACACGGGGGTAGGTCGTCACTACGCCTTTGAGATATTATCATTTCATACTAAGCTTTTGGTCTAGGACTATAAATGGGGATTCTCACTTTTGCAGCTCATCATCAGCATGGTACTGCTGCTCGCATGGACAGTCGGGATCTATATAATGTGGATTTATACACATTTCACTATTGCGTCCAACAATGCCCAGTTCGAAGAAGTCTCTGGCGAATATCGCGCAGTCCTCAAGTTGGCAGCAGCTATGAGGATTGAGCTCGATATCGAGGACACTGATCTTTCAGTGCTTAGAGAAAAACAACTGAAAGAAAGGGTCGACAAAGAGATACAGGGCGGCACAGTCTTCCACGCCTATCCTGACACTGGGCTGAAAACTCATAGTATTCGAAACGGCCTCAAAACTTGGTTCAAGAAGGAAAAATGGTGGTTCTTGGCTATGTTGGGTACGAGTCTTCTTTGCTTGATCGGATACTTTTTCTTTCCCGAATTTTTCTACTCCTGGCTCTTTGGAGTTTGGGCTGGCCAATTTTGGGCTTTCTGCATAGGTAGCACTGTGGGCAGTCGACTTCTCATTATCCTGTTTCCCAGCCTTGTGGCTGGACTTACTCTGGGCATTATGATAGCAGTGTAGAACGGGTGGGGTCATGGTGCAAAATGTCATCTTTACTACGCTATGCTCTGTAAAATGACTACCTAGGTAGGCCGCAGTATGTGTACTGGCCCCTAGCCCACTATTTTATACTTCTGCCTGTGCTGCCGTAGAACTCCCATGACCCGTTAACCCTCAGAATACGCCAGACGCTCCGCTCGAAAGAAATACCACACCATCTCAGTTCACCTGACCTTTGCTCTGTGCGGATGCAAGGCTTTGGTCAGTCGCATAGCGGGAACCGTCGTCCTCTTCCGAGTACAGAGTCTGATCGCCTTTACCGCCCATCTCGACAAACTCGTTGGGATTTCGCTCATCGGCAGGCCTTACTTCTGCAGCACCATGGGTCTTGCCGTTCATCTTTGTGCCGTTCTCAACTCCATTCTTTGCGTAAACCTTGACGGGCTCCTGGCCTTCAGCGGCGTTGATGACACGAGTGACCTTAACATCATTAATGCTACTAAGCATAGTGCGCTCCCGTTGTATCTTGCGCTTGGAGAAATCGAGCTTGGATATGGCCCCCGTAAGACCGTCTGTGCTGTCGGTGACGCTTATTTTGTCTTGCGTAGTCCACGGGTGCTGCAGGCATTCATCAATCGATATCCGTTTCTCAACATCGACTGTGAGCATCTTGTCGATGAGATCCAGCGCAGGGTCGCCAACGGAATCCCAGTACGGTGACGGATAGTCGAAGCGGCCCATTTTGATCTGTTGCGATAGTGTGTATGGGTTGTCCTCACTGTACAGCTCGTCTGAGAAGGGAGGAAACCCACACAGGCAGATGTACAGTACGACGCCCAATGACCAAACGTCTACAGCTCTGGTGTAGCGGCGGTGGTTGGAATTTTCCAGAATTTCGGGCGCAACGTCTGGAAAAATTAGCGTACTGTCGTACTTTGGAACAGGACAACATACATGACGGAGTTCCACACAGTGTTGTTGTGAAAGATTCTTCACCGATAATTTTGGCAAGACCAAAATCAGCCAGCTTGATCGACAGATCCTTATCTGTGAGCAAGATGTTCTCGGGCTTGATATCTCTGTGTACAATGTTGCGCTCATGCTGGTATGTGTTAGCGTTGAATCAGAAGGATATTTGGGGACTTACCAGGTACTTAACCGACTGAAACAATTGCACAAATACCTTGCGCGCCTCCGCCTCGGTCAACTTTTGTTTCATGACGATCCAGTTGAACAACTCGCCCTCAGTCGCGAGCTCGAGCACGAGGTAGACACCATCATCCTCATCAAATGTGTCCTTGAGACAGAGCAGCGCCGGATGGCTAACACTCATAAGCACGGCAATCTCTTGTTGCAGACCCTCGACCTTGGACTTCTCACCAGGACCAGAACGCTTCTCGAACTTCTTCACTGCGTACCGTACGCCGGTCGCTTTCTCTGCGCAGAGGTATACTGAAGCAAAATGACCCTTGCCTAACTGCTCCTGCATGGTGTATTGTTGTCGGAATCGGTGGGTGTTGCGCTTCAACGGGTATCTGAAGACATAGCGGGCTTGGTCCAAGATGGCAATCTCGTCACCTTCGCGCAGCTCGCGTCGCTTGTTCCGTCCAACGAAGATGTCGTTGACAAATGTTCCGTTTCCAGACAAGTCTTCGAGTACAGCGACAACATCGCCGCCCTTCTTCTCAGTGAACAGCAGACAGTGCCGGTTTGAGACGGTAGGTGAACTGAGGACTCGATCTGCAACGTGTCAGACAAGCGCTCTTTCGCAGGGACTATTACCGCGACTTACCGCACTCTCTGTGGCGACCGATGAGGTAGCCACCGGCTGGTACACCGCGCTCCTGCTTCTCCTTCTCGTACCTATCCTCCTGCTTTTTGTACTCTTCTTTGCTTACCCGCTCTGTTCCTTCGGTCTGGCCAACGAGTGCCTGCGGAACGGGACAGGCCTGTCGCCGGCGCAGTACTAGCACGTCTTTGTCCCGGCCATCCATAGGCACCAGGTAGCCCCAGACCTCTTCTTCCTCTTCATCTTCTACGGCGTACGTCCGGCTGTCGGGCGGGTAGACGAACTGGGAGAAGGGCTGGGTGTCGGATGGGGGCGACGAGAGACCACCGCGTGCCTGGCTTGGCTTGCTGGGTGGGGGGCTCTGTGTGCCTTCTTTGTAGCCTTCCGAAGCGTCTCCGGTGGATTCCTTGTGGGTTACAGGCGAAGGCAACGGTCCCTGCTTAAGACGGCCGTTGGGAGGCGGCGACAGGCGCGAGTGGCGAGTGCGCTTTGGTTCGGCCTCTTCGCCCTGCGAGTACTACAGCAATTGAAGCGTCAGCGCCCGCTCCCAGTCACATACTTGGCAGTACAACGGCTACCTACGCGGTTTCGCTTGAGCTGGCTTTTCTCAGTCTGGGCCGGCATCTTGACAACAAGGGCGAGTAGTGGAGTCGAGACGGAGACGGCGACGGAGACGGGGTCAATGCTGGCGCGGGTGTGACTGTCTAGATAGGCAGCATAGTGTTGCGAACGATGGAAACGAATAGTAAGGGCGGGCGAGTCTGGGCCGCTAAGCTGGACTGAGATTGAACGTCCGCAGGCCCTCGAGCCTTGGACGATGTTGCAGGCAGCCAAGCTCTAGAGCCGGGGAAGTCGCGTCGCACCCCTGCCGATTTGCGCGTGGCGAGCCTGCCGCCCTGTTGACTGGCCCGGAGCGACGCACCGGCTACACCTATGGGCTGCCCACTTTGTCGGCTTGCAACCTGCGTCAACTGCCATCCATGGACTGTATCGAGTCACCCTATGACAGCTTCCTCATTTGCATTACTCAGCCCAAACAAAACCACGCACAAGCATGCTTCCAGGTTTTCCTCACCTCGATGCAATTGAGTTTGAGCAGGCCTGCGATGCGCTGCAGCGATGCTTCCAGCTGAGAGGTAGCGCGCAGCACGAGTGGCTTTCCGTGGAGAAGAGGCACCGAAATGGGTCCGTATATCTCAACATTACTACCCATCTGCCGCTCTGCGCAGATCGACCTGCGGTGCGTGATCGGGACGCTATTGAAGAGGAGGAAGTAGTAGACGACGACGAGGTGGGTGATGCCGGGGCCCTGATCTGCCAATACGAGCTCAGTTCAGGTAGGAAGCTCTTCACGACGCCGTAGCACCCCAGCCAGTTGTAGACTACGATATCGTCCTATCGGATGTCTATCGCGTGCCCGTCTTGTACATCAGCATTCGTGACCCTGAGCACCGGTATCCGCCGACAATGACTACGTTGTACGAGCACTTGGTCCCGCCACAGTTCAAAGCTCAGACAGAGAATGTTGGTGTCATTGGAGGCATTACCATTGCTGTGAGAAGTGTAATCTCATGTATTGGATTTAACTAACCATCGCAGGAGCACCCGCTCACCAACAGACCCGTCTTCTTCATTCATCCATGTCAGACGGCTGATGTGATGGAGGCCAGTGTCGAGAGCGTCATAACAGCAGATAAGTATCTGACCATATGGATAGG